TAGGTATATATTATGTGAATGAATAATTTACTGTCTCTATCTTACGAAAGTCTGTACATGTATATCACGCATATCAGACAAGAAAGTCAAATCTACATGTATACATTGTGTCTTTTTTGATCCCCATTGAATTATAACGAAACACCAGACTGATCCCGATTTGAAGTCAAAATTATGTTACATGTACGCTCTCAGATTTTTTTTTATTTCCGGGGCCAAATCAGAAAAAAAAATATACCGTAGTCAAAATGTTGAAATTTAATCACATAATTGAAGTTAATTTATTGTCGTTACCCTGTTTACTACGTAAGTGCCTTGATTAAAGGCACGCACGGGAGAAATTAAACAAGCTTGTTGTATTAAATAATTACATCGCACGTCTACTAGATGGCAAAATTAATCGTTAGCAATAGAAATTTATTTAAAAATTAATAAGCTTTAAAAACACCAACAACTACGAGTTTGTAATTGATCCATACATTCGCTTGATTATAAAAACAGTCGATCTATATCTATATTCTCAGAAAATATAAAACTTCAATTTATCTTTAGAAATCTTTAAAAGAATTATTCACTGTATTTTGAATTCGCGGAATTTCTTTTTCCGCGAAAATAGCGAAAATTAACTCCGCGAGTTAATTTCCTGCTGTACAGTAATCCCAAGCATTATTATAATTCAGTTAGGATCTAATGACATCTCTTTTTCAAGTCCTCTTCCTCTCATAACCAAAATGAAAAATGACATTTCTTTATACATGGAGAATTTTCCAGATACAATTTTTATTTATTCTGAACTGTTGTCAAGAAGAGTCTGGGCAAAATTGAAGTCTGGGAGGGAGAAAACAAGAAAACCATAATTAATAGAGAATTAGGATCATTCATGGAAAGAAGAGGAGAGAAAGTGATATTTCATCATAGAATTCATTGGAAAACAGAACACTTTTTAAAAGAGATGGGGTACATTTGACCGGAATTGGAAATGACATTTCACTATCAGACTTCAAAGATGCTTTAAAAATGTAATGTTGATTTTATAGTGTAATTATTTTTAAAATTGTATATATTTGTACAGTATACTGCTTTTATATTTAAATGGCATTAAGTCGGATGTTCTGATTTGAGCCATATCCCGGGACTTATTAAAACGGGGAGGAATGTAGTAATATAGGTTTATAAAATAGTTCGGTATCGGGATTCAAATATTTGAAACGTCAATCAGCTGATTTACTACCATATTAAGCCAGTTGTGATTATACCCTGGATTGACACAGACGTCTGACGACTCTGTCCCGTCCGGAGTCTACAGCTCAGGTGGGTTGTAACCTATTGTTACCCCTCACCATTTTCACGAGTTACATTAACATTATTTAGCGTACTTCCTTTACTAACGCACTTCACAACACCATTGTAATCTTTGGGTATTATTTAGCGAGTATAGTGATCATAGTACTCAAGGCTCTGATTCAAAGAGACCCATTGACGAACAAATGGGGTATTTAAATTGACAAACGTAGAATTTCTGTATGACCCATGTAGATTTTGTTCAATTCCCAATAGCATTAGGTTTCAGAAAAATACAGGTTACAGGACCTAAAAATCTATTTTTAAAGAAAAATAAGAGTAAAAATAATTTCGGTTGTTCCCATAGATTATGTCCCAAAATCTTCCTCCCTATTGTACGCGTGCGCAGAAAAAAAAATAATGTTACCACAGTTACAATGCTCTTAAGTACCCAGGAAAGGCATGTAAGTAGCATTTTGATGCAATCTTTTCAAAAAGTTGTTAGAACATATTTTTATCCTTTGCATGCTCCAGTTGAATGCTGGTTACAAGTTTGAGTTCAAAATAAAAGTGGCGTGACCTTTACATACAAACGAAAACAACGAAACGGTAGATATAACCATAAGTTTCTTCCGGTGTAACGACGAAAAGTGACCTCTGTAGAATATTTACCGGAGAAAAATAGCCCACTTTCTGTAGAAATTATGGCCTCGGGGTTCGTTATTAATTTTATATTAATATGCATTTGTTTTTCTAAGAGCGTAGTTTCAAACTTCTCATTTAAAAAAAGGCTGACGTAGTTTGTAAAGAAATAAATACTCATTTGAATTACGTTGCTTATATCTTATATAAAGCATTTATTATTTTATAATCAGTTGCACTGTTTGATGAAAAACACCAACACGTCGCGCACGATGTTGGTGTTAATTTTGGTAAAGTCAAAGACGTCAAAAAATGCCACGTTTACGCCGTTTTCGTTCATAACGTAATCAATAATATTTAATAAATCATTCACAACATAATGATACTGTCATGCATTTTGTAAAACACAACATATAGATTAATTCAAACTTTTAATTGAATATATTTTGTAATTTCTTTTTTTTTCTAATCCGACACCTGAATAATTCGACACACTGTGAATTCCGACGTCAAATTTCTTTCCCATTTTGCTATTTTCCACATTTTTAACACTGTGCAATCTGACTTCCTGTCCATTCCGACACAAAATTCGTCTCCCAGTGCACGTCGGATTAGACAGGTTTCACTGTATTACCTAATCATGCAAAACAAATCTGAGGGTCACAACAATGAAATGTTTTAATTATAGTTCACTACTGCAATGTCAGTGTTCAATCGCTCACGGCCTGCAATATTGTTAAGTAAATTTCCTTTGTAATATGTAACTCGTCATTGTCAGGGAGAGCATCTGATTCATTTATGATATGCCGGTTTGCGTTTGATTATTTTGTATTCCAATGGAGTATTCTTTGACTGTTCAAAATAATGACCTCGGATAACTTTTGCTCCTTTGCAGTAAGAAGCTCCCCACCTGTCTCCGTGTCTTCTTTTTGTAGAAGAACTGATTTTGCAGTTGCTTTCAGTGTATAATAATCATTTATTTCATCGTCACTGAGTACAGCAAATATGCTGCCTTTTGTTATTATATCAGACAGTATTTGAAATTCATTCTTCTCGTTTTCTGTGTCTGGTGCATTGCTATCTGAGTCTTCCTCCATGAAAGTTATAGGGGTAAATTTACCTAAATTGTTGATAAGATTACAATTTTGCTAAAATTCACCGTCAAGGCAATCTTTGCAGGTGTAACAAGACAGTGGACGAATGTAATTTGTGCCGGAAATAGACGACACAAGGTGGTGAACAGACTTTTTATCCGTTATAGGTTTATAGGATCTTGGCTTTTCATTTAGGATTTCTTCTATATATTTGAAAATTCTACGACAACGTTTGCCGAATAATTTGGGATTTTTAGTTTTTCGTTCGCAAAAAAATACAGACTTATGGCATCCTGTATAAAACAGGTACCCCTGATTACGGAAAGATCCGCCTGATTCTTTAAAAATCCACCCGCTGCATCCTGTGGGTCCTTTGCATGGCTGGTTTCAAAGAAATTTCTGATTAGTTTTGGATAGCTAAATTCTGAAAGAGATGCTGATAAGTCACCGAAACAATGGCGACTTTTATATTGTGCAGCGCAACCATCGCAGAATTCATGCATTGTTTGAACCTGGTAAGATATGGATTTGAAATATTCAGATACCAGTTTTTGACAATGATGAGTGAAGTGTTGGTCATGTTTATCGTCAGGGGATATTACATAGAAATGTTCTTTTATTATTTCTGGTTCTTCTGCTGTACTTTCTACACCGTCCAATTCAAGAACAGCATGTCTGTGAAGTATGCTGACATGAATTGACACTTCAGTTTTTTGGAAATAATTTGACTGTATTTCATTCTTTTCACTACAACGGCAATTTTCAGAAAAGTCATGAAATGTAACGCAGTGATTTTGAGGCAAATTCTGAAGTAAATTTCGTAATTGCCCTTTAGCACCCATGTTGTGTAACGGAAATTTTGTAAGAAGCTTTCTCATGTATACTCAAACAATTCACCGGGTTTGGTGACCTTTTTTACATGTTTCGCCCATTTTCGACTTTATGTTTATGTAATCAAAACACTCCCAAGAAACATCAGGAGAAAGGTCATCAGTTCTTAGTTCCTCATGATTGAACTCAATTTTATGAACCCCACATTCTATGCATGTTCTATCTAAACAGGATTTGTTGTGTAGACCATCGGAATTGGTAGGACAGAGAGTTTGATTACACATTTCATACATGTCATGGTATATTACAGGGTCTGTTACGTAGGTTTTTCTGTAATTCATACATGCTTTAAAGACGTATTTCATTTCAAGATGATATCGACAGCAACAGGTAACCCTATCTTTTGGACGCGCTGCGCGAATGTAGTAAGGTTTACATGCCTCAAAGAGTCTCTGAGAAATTCGAATTTCTCGGTGTTTCGACAGAAAGTCTGCATATACCTCTGTTTGTGTTTTATGTAAGATTTAAAAAACATGAGAAGAATATTGATTTGGACCTATTCTAACCCTTTTCACATCGTTTTTATTGCCAGTTGAGTGCGAAATTTCGGGCAAACACCACAAATTATAAACAAGCTTTCGGATATCATCAGACAGGGCATCAGATCTTGTTTTCCGCTTAGTATACGTAAACGATGATGATTCCGTATGCAAGATTTTTGTGAGAACTTTATACCCTTTAGATATTCTACGAATCGGAAGACCAAGTTTTTTTTTTTTTTTGCTAGTGAAGATTTTGCTCTAGAATTTTTAACATTTTCGCCGCTCACAGAAGCTGTTAAAAATCCATGGCTTCCCTAACTTTGTCGCACCGTTTAAGTTTTAGTTTGGAGACAGATTCCTTGATGTCAGATAGAACGGACGCTTGGAGTGTGACTGATTCTTTTTCCTCTGGAGAGGGAATAATTTTGCAATTTTGGAGTAATTTTACTGAGGGAGAGTTTGTATTTTGTAAAAAGCGGTAATGGTAGCTTCTCTTTTTGTCGGGGATATCAGTCAATTTGATTTCAGTTTTTTCACAGCTCGACATTTTTGCATTTTGTTGCTGAATGATTTGAAGTTGCCATTCCCTGTATTTTCGCTCTGAATTTGACTAATCATGCGTTTCTTTTCGGCGCCATCTCTGTTGTGCTAGGGATTTCCGCCTCTGCTTTACTTCTTCGCGTTCTTTTAATTTAGATTTTCTTTCCATTTCTTTTCTCTTGCTATTCTCAATTTTTTCCCTTTTAATGCGTTCTTTCTCGTGCTGTTTGCGTTTTCTGAGCGTCGCAGCATTTACTGTCTGCTCTGAAATTCAATCGTAAATTTTCAATTTATCATTTAATCTACAATTAAAAAAGTCAATTGTCTTAAAAACGATGATATTTTGTTTTTAGTTATAAGTACATCTAAAGTCCGCGTAAAAATATTACTACTTATTTACTTTCAGGGAATCTGTTTTACCTTTTGTGGTAGAACTCTTTTGTATTTCCTTGACTCTCCTCCTCCATTCACGAGTCTGCTCAACCTTTTTTTGTTTCCTTATTTCTTTGTTTATTTTTATTCGTATTACAGCATTCAAAGACCCTGTTTAATTATCAATTCAAATAAATGTTCACTGCCAAGCCACATTAATGTTTAAAACATCATTTATGCCATTTTGCATCACCCGTGACATAAAAATATTTATAATTATTAATATTTTATTTGTAAAAATCATCTATTAAGATTCGAACTGATTGCATTTTAGGCATTGAGAAGCTAAGGAGAATTTTATTTTTCTTTAATATACTTTATTCATATGTGATTTTTTAAAAAATCCTTTTTATAAAATAATGTATTTAGTATTTCTGTTTTCACTATAAGTTCTTTTTTAACGAAAAACGTACACGACCGTATGACGTTAAATGCGTCATTGCGTCATTTGATATGTACAGTAAGTGTGACATTAATGTTGACTTTATTTTATTTGTAAAAATCAATTATTTTTATTCGTAATACTTGCTCATTTGGCAAAAAAATGTTCGTGGAGAAATGCACATTTCAAACATGAATTTATTTTTGGGAAAGTTCTTTCCTAGTTTTATAGAGGAATGTCTAAATTCAGTATTATTTCAAATTCTTATTTGATTTATGTGTTTTTATGAAAGCGTTACATTCGTATTGACATTTTAAAATGTCTCTGATATGAACATTAGCAAATATATATGCCTCTTTTTAAAGAATATATCACCTTTAAAAATTCACATTCTGAAACTATTTTAATATTATGAAAAAAGGCTATGATTTCAGTATAATGAGCATACCATTTGTGATCACCATGCTACGCATGACGTTCGGATGTTAAAATTTCTCCTTTGAGACACGTGTCTTTTAAAAATGTTAATAGTTAAACAATCTCCTGCGTAATAGTTTTTATGAATAAATGCTTTAAAATGAAAAATTAAACGGAAGATATTTATATATTTAATATTTTTTATCATTTCCATCAAGATGTTATCAGTAAAACACCAATAAGTTGCTATACACAACATGATATTTTATCTTCGATTTGGCAAAAATATTGAAATTAAGAAATATACTTGTTTTGTGACGCCTTCTGTCTTCTATCGTTTTTGAACTTAAATTCAAAGAAAATAAACTATTCTCAATAATTTACTTTGAAATTTTACACAGTATCCATTTTCTCTGTTTACAAATTAAAAACAAATTATTAGATAACTGTAAGTACATACATTTTCATAAATTATAATAAATACTGTGGTAATTTACCTGATTCTGAGGTGGCCATTTTCGATTTTTGTCCCTTATCTACAGGTTCATACTGAGAATTCTTTGACCCGGCGTTGATTCCTGGCATTGGTTACGTCAACAATGTTATGACGTATATATTTAACATCATCACAATAATTAGTCCGCCAAATATTTTCCCCCAAAATGAAATTTCGCTGAGATATTGTAATTTATTTGAAATGTGTATTTTGCATCTGTTACCTATCTACATGGCATTTTGGGCAAATTTTGCGGGTTTTATCACTGATTTCTCAAATTTATTTTTTTAATTGCAATTTATAGTATATTTTATTGAAGTCCACGATCCTATTAACAGATTGATATGTAATATAGCATATATCTTTATTATTTTTTATTGAAAAGTAGTCTAACTGTCAGCGCGCACTGCGAGAAAAGATTTTAACACCAACATCGTGCGCGACGTTCCAGTGTATCTTTAGTGTTTGTTGTTATATATTTTGAAAGGAGCGTATTTCATTGCATGAACTGTCCATGTTTCATTCGCGAAAACCTTTTGTTCACTTTACACAATACCTAAAAATGTCAGCCTATTAAGTTATTTTACTTGATATATTTCTTTATAGAGAAACGATTACCCATAAATAAGATTTTTGTGTTTGCAAGTATGCATGGACAAAACTATAATGGACTCTAAGTTTTATGCATTTTTTTTGTTTCTGTGGGTGTATTAAAGATAGGAAGATACGAAATCAAAGCAAAATAAATGGTTCACGGCGATTAATATTCGCAACTTGAACTAGGTCACAAGACTCGCGAATATTTCTTACGAATAAAAGTTGGTTTACAGTAGATTTTTTTATTAGCTGTTGGCTGAAAAGTTTAATTTATTTTTTAATATGATGGTTTTACTTTTTTTATATTATCCACGTTCTATTTCTGAAAGTTAAATAAAATTAGATGTCCTAGCTTTAAACTTTTCGATTTTCTTGTTTTCGATAGTTCTCTTTTATCTTTTGGGTTGAGTAGTTTGATTTCTTCACATGAAAAAAAATTATCGACCTGCTTAAACGTTTAAAAATCTTAAAAATACATCTGCTGCAACATATATTACACGGACATTTTTTTTTAATGTTTGCATATGCCTCTATTAAAGCCCTCTTCGAATCAGTGGGAAATTGTTTTTGACAATGAGAAAATTCTATATTCAGAAATGCCAATTATTAACTTTTCTTTACTATTTTCAATGTACAGAAAATGTCTTTTAACCCCAGGAAAAAATGGTCTAAGATAATAAAATATCAATGAACCAAAGCGGCTATTTACTTCAATAAAATAAAATACATGTGAATATATGAGGGTTGTCCCAAAATGTCGTAAACAATGTTTATAATGTTTTTAACACGCAACCAATACTAACCAAATTTTGCATAGACATACTGTAATATATTCAATGTTTTTTAAAATTGTGAATTTTTAAGTGTATATCTTTCATATTAATAATAATTGGACGATTTATATGAAAGTCGATAAGGCCTGTCGGCGCACGAACAAAATTCGGAATAATTTACACAATAAACGATTATATTTGCTTTTATTTCTTTAGTACTATGTAATACATTAAACTCAAATTTTAACCAATGAAAGCAGAATTAACATCCTAATAATATGTCAAAGTTTCATATGAATTGCTTTAGAAACAGACAATTGTTGTCATGATTTTCATAGTAATAGAGTTGGATGAAAATGACGTCGTCAAACGCGTAACCGGCGCACAGGGGTGTAATAAATTGTGTTTGATATATGGTTTTGTATATCAAAGACGGAAAAGAGTACAAAAGTAACATTACACACGCGATTTTTATAAAGGAGTTAATTTTAAATGGTACGATATTTAATGAGAGTTTTACCTCTATACCGAAAATAGTTACGGCATGTAATAAGTAGATTACTGTTTGTTAACCGCATACAATTGTAAACAATCTTGATCGCAAACGACGTCAATAAATGTGTATTCTCTGCTCCTACAATGTAAGGCGATCTCTCCACTAAATTTCGACTGAAATTTGAATCTGATTAAAAAAAAAACAAATAAAAAAACAAACGGACATTAGTGAATTTTGTTAAGTTCCTTTTGTCAAGAGTGGTCTTTCACTTTAAAAAATATATTGAATGTTAATTTACGCGAGTGAGACAGACAAAGAGATCATGATATTATATGATACGTAATAAACGTTTGCTTTCTTGCGCCGTTTTACACTTACATTCTTTCTTTATTTTTACATATTTTCTTATTAAATGTGTTTTCATCATGAAATCTGAAATGCATAATCATAAAATGTTACTGTTTGCTATGACAAGGAAAGAGATTTATCAAGCAAAGAGAAACTTAACTGTTTTCCATGTCTACGACTTTTTGGGACAACCCTCGTAGTGTTCATTAACTTTATCTTGGCCCTTCAAAATGTAATGGATACCTCATTTGATTATTTTTTTTCTTTAAGTTGAGAAATACACAGTGGACTTCAATTTATCTGAAATCAGATTAAAGGTTCACTCTAACTGCAGTTAAATACCAAAGATTAAAAATATTTACTGTGCAGTGAAAAGAAAGTTCTTAAGAATTTACAAAACGTACCAAGCCAAGTCTGTACAACAAAGCATAGAAAACAGCATACCCGGCATCATGACATATCTTAAGCTGAAGTTCAAATCTTTTTTTTTTTTTTCAAGACTAGAATGTTTGCAGATTTTGATTCTGTTATCAAAATCAACTATATGCGAGCTACTAGACTAGTTTTTTCTTAATATATCCACATGTACTGAAATTCTAAATTTTATGTATATTTTCTGATTAGTTATATTCTTGATGGCTCGAAATCTGACAAAGATGAAGTTATTTCAAAATATCTTGAGTCCTTAACTACGAGTATTTGGTTTGCTTTAAAGGTAATTTTGTAATTAGCAAATTAAATTTGAATACTACTACCTTCTGCATTACTTTCTTTCATTAGCTCATCTTTCCAGTTGAGTGGATTATTATCTTCATCTAAAAAAATAATGTATTTGCCTCCTTAATGTTATTAAAAATATTACATCTGCTGCTATAACTAAGGCATATTGTAAATTTGTTCCTTGGTATAATTTGCACTTATTATCTAATAGAGTTTAAAAGAAATACCAAAGTAAGTATATGCACATCTTTAAATTTCCAATAAATACGACATGAAATCTACTGAAAAAAAGTCTGTACAACAAAGCATAGAAAACAGCATACCCGGCATCATGACATATCTTAAGCTGAAGTTGAAATCTTTTTTTTCTCAAGACTAGAATGTTGCAGTAAGCACATCAAAATTATTTTTTAACAAAATTGTCATTGTATGCAGATATTACATAATTTCAATCCAATAATTAAACTTCTTATTCTCAGTTCTCGGTTTTATGAATACAAAATGAATGTTTTATAAGAACACAACACATGTGCATCCTTTCTAATTCACTGGGCGAAGATTAAGGAATAAATGTACATAATGTATAAGAGACATTTTTTTCAAGTCCATTTCTTAGCAATAGTGCAACATTTAAAATATTTTCTTCCAACATCTTTTGTATAATTGTTTTTCCCTATTTTGTTTACTAGTATTAGATGTTAATAAATTGTATTATGTTTGTACTTTTTTGCATCATGTGAGGCCTTCAGTGAAAAAAAAGATTCAAAAACAAAATACCATAACAATTGTGTGCATTTCAGAACTTATTTCTCGATTACGCAAAAGCAGCAATTACACAGACAGTGGTAATTCCAATCCACCCAGATGACTTCAAATAATTAGACTTCCAAATTCAGGGTTATTTTATATTTTCAAAACTGTATCCTTAGGACTTTGCTTTTCATTGTACTTTTTTGAAAAGTTTGTCAATTCCACTCATCAGAGGATACTCATGAAAAATTCTCTGTCACTTTCTGCATTCACGTTTTGGACAATTCAATGTTTACTGGGCGTCAGAGTGTTAGGATGAAGTAATGTCTACAGTGATGAATTTTCCAAATAGATCTATATATAGTGCTGCAATCGACTCACTTTATGAGATTTGGAACCCGATTCTTCCTAATTCGTTAATATTTTTTTTTAATATTATCTAATAGATACATGTACTTCTAATTCAGTAAAAAAAAAAAATTAGGATAATATCACTAGCATCATTATCTTGTTTAGAATAGAAATGACTACTAGTACAAAGTACCTGGCATTTAATTTCTTTACAGTAACTAAAATGGATAAGATTAATATTACCTTTTGGGTTATCTTCACTCCCATTTAACAAAGTTACCCTTTCTCTCTCTTCATCTCAAAAGGTAATATTTGAGGATAATTAAAGGATGATTAAAATACAAGAACATCTATCCCAAAGCTGGGGGAAGTGTAAATCTGTTCTAATTTAATTTGTTTTGTTTTTCTATATCACAATTTAAAAAAAAAAAAAGTACACATATGTGTCCATGTACACTGTATCCCTTAATTCTTGGAATCAAAATCCAATGCATACGTCATACCGTTTGCAAAAATATAGTCTTAATATTTGTAATGCATCCACTTACATGTAGATGTACGAAAGGTACTGACGACCCATTTTCTTCGTATTTATTAATTAGATGAAGTCGCCTACTTTCATACATGTTTCTTTAAAAAAAAACAAGGCTATCAAGTAAAATGGCATTTATGTTTTGAGGAGAGTAATCCTATATACCTTGTCTCTGAAAACGAAATTGTATAGTAGGAAACGAAAGCACTCTGACTCAACTTTATTTTGATATACAAAATGTAAAGACGAATGAACGGCGGGCGGGCCGCCCTCCTCCTCCCCTGTTTGAAAATGTTTGTATATAAAAAGTATCTGTCCATTTCCTAAAATAAATGAAAAAATCTCTTATTTTAAGATTTTACCAGCTACAGGGGGCTTCTTTCCTCGAACCCCTAAAAGGACCTTGTCTTATACCAAGTGGGGGTATCAGTGAAGCCACAAGCCCCTCTTGCCTTCTACTGCCCCCCCCCCCCCCGTTACGAAATTTCTTGACCCGCCACTGAACTGGGAAGAGGTTGATAGTTTATTAATTGAAATAATGACAGGACAATTGTGTGCATAAAGTGAACATAGCTTTCATATAGGGACAGTCTAGGTATCGCGTTTCAGGTAGACGATTTACAAAAACTCCAAAGACAGCTTTATTCACAATTTGTTAAGCATAAAAGTTCATGTTCTGTAATATCAGAAATATCTCTGCTAAAAAATAATCCCTCTTTTGAAATAAGGGATGTCAATAGAATATAAAATAGCCCATCTATAAAATGCAACACGTTCCGAACTTCCGACTTATATTCGCCCCATGGGGATCCTGGTTAGAATAGGTCCTCCGTACCCCCTTGCTTGTCGTAAAAGGCGACTAAATGGGGCGGTCCTTCGGATGAGACCGTATAAACCGAGGTCCCGTGTCACAGCAGGTGTGGCCCGATAAAGATCCATCCCTGCCCAAAGGCCCTGAGTGCCGAGCATAGGCCTAAATTTGCAGCTCTTCACCGGCAATAGTGACGTCTCCATATCAGTGAAATATTCTGGAGAAGGACGGTAAACAGTATACAAGCAATCAATCAATCAATCAATCAATCAATCCGACTTTTATTCACGTTTTCAAAAATTATCCATCTTCTTATTTCCATTTTTTGAAGTAAGCTCTTTTTTTTCATATGTGTTCAAGAAGACAAAAAATGTTTTAAAAGAAAATTAGAAAAGGAATATACATTATTTCTGATTATTTTTGCAGTTCACACCTTCTGCAGAAAAATACGAAATTATTAAAATCTTAAGTATGCAGTAAAAAGAGAGGTCTTAAGATTTTATTAAACGTACAAAGCCACGTGTTTGCACTGCTTTCAATTCTGTGATAAAGATCAACTATATTCAATCTATGAGACAAAGTTTTTTCTTTATTTTCTTAAAACATCAACATGTACTGAAATTCTTGATTTTGTTTATTTTCTGTAAAGTTGTAGTTTTTAATGCTAGAAATCTGACAAAGATAAAGTTATTTCATAATATAATGTCCTAACAGACCCGTGGGGATCCGGGTTAGAATAGGTCCTCCGTACCCCCTTGCTTGTCGTAAAAGGCGACTAAATGGGGCGGTCCTTCGGTTGAGACTGTGTTAACAGAGGCCCCGTGTCTAAGCAGGTGTGGCACGATAAAGATCCCTCCCTGCCCAAAGGCCGTAAGTGCCGAGCATAGGCTAAATTTGCAGCCCTTCACCGGCAATGGTGACGTCTCCATATCAGTGAAATATTCTGGAATGGGATGTTAAACAGTACACAATCAATCAATCAGTTCTTATATATAACTTGACTACGAGTATGTGGTTTGCTTCTACAGAAACTTTAAATTTGTAATTAGCAAACTGGAACACTAGTACGTTCCGTATTACTTTCTTTCAATAGCTCTTGATCATCGTTTAAGTTGAGTGGTTAATTTCTTCATCTAAAAAGAATTGTATATGCCTGCTTAATTTTATAAAAAATACCACATCTGCTGCTATAACTTGGGCATATTGTAAATTTGTTTCTTCGTATAATTTACATTTATTTCTACCAGAACTTTAGAAAAAGAACAAAAATAAGTTTTTGCACATTTCTGTGATCGATATTCAATTCATATTATTTACCAAAAATATTGTCTTAAATTTTGTCAGTATTTTTTTGTCCTTATACATCAAACTGCACAGATTGTTTTTAGATATCCAACAAATAAGACATGAACTCTACTGAAAGTCTTTTTAACAAAACATAGAAAACAGCTGGCCTGGCATCAAGAATATCTTAAGCTAGCGTTGAATTTTTTTTCAATATTTGAATGTTGTAGAAGTCAAGCAGATCAAATTTTTTAACAACATTTTTGTTGTATGCAGACAAACATTATTTTAATCTAAAAATTAAGCTTCTCTTTCCCAGTTCTCATTTTTATGAATGCAAAAAATTGTTTGATAATACATGTGCATCATTTGAAATTAATTTGGCGAGGTACAAAGGAATAAATGTAACTTGCTTCATACGTAATATATCAAATAGATATTTTTTTTTTCATGTCAATTTTTTTGCAATGGTGCAACATTTGAAATATTACATTCCAACATCTTTTGTATATATGTCTGTTTCTATTTTGTTGATTATTATTAGATGTAAATGTTAATCAATTGTATTATACTTGTACCTTTTTTGCATCACGTGAGACCTTGAGTGAAAAAAATCAAATTTTCAAAGACATTATACTACCACAATTTTGTGCATTTCAGAACCAATTTATCGATGACACGATTGCAGCAATTAGACAGATAGGTGCAATTCCCAATCCACCCGGATGACTTCATATTATTATTTTTAAAAATTGGGAGATTATTTTTTCATTCATAAAAATGTACACATCGAACTTAGCTAATTATCGCATCTATTTGAAAAAGTTTATCAGTTCCGTTCAGTGGATACTCATGAAAAAATTTCTGTCACTAATACTACATTCACGTTTTGGACGATTCAGTGTTAATCTGGCGTCCTAGCTCGCGTCGCCTGCGTGACGTAGTGGTTAGAGCGTCTGCTCTAGAGTTGCGAAGTAAGGAGTCAATCCTTACGTCGCGGGTTCGAATCCCACTGTGGGATGTGGAGACCGGTCCTTCGGATGAGACCGTATAAACCGAGGTCCCGTGTCGCAGTAGGTGTTGGCACGAAAAAGATCCCTCCCTGCTCAATGGTCCTAAGTGCCGAGCATAGGAAAACATTTGCAGTTCTCCACCGGCAATATGAGTGAAAAATTCTCGAGAGGGACGTTAAACAATATACAATCAATCAATCCTACCTCGCCAGAATTTTTGATACATTTCTGACTACAGATAAATCTTCAAATTACATCTAAAAAATAGTGCTGCACACGACTTTAATCACTTTTGAGGGTTGGTCGTTTCTGCCAAATTCGTTGAAAAAGAAAGATGAAGGATTATATTACGAGTTTCTCTTGTTTAGAAGAAAAATTACTACAAGTACAAAATATCTGGCATTTCTTTTGCAGTAAGTAAAATAGAAATTACAACTACCTCTAAAATTATCTTTGCTTCTTTTCATCAAAGGAACACATTCTCTTTCTTCATCTGAAAAAGTTGTAATAGCCTTCATGAGCACCTTTAAAATAATAGTACCGCAACCCTAAATCTAAGGAGGGGAATGTAAATTTTACAGCAATTTTAATTTTACATTAACATATATGTGCATGCACCTCGTTTTCCTTTTTTCTTCTTATACAAGTATATCATGTATATAGAGAAAAGCATAGCAAGTGTCATAAACGATGCTATAGTAATGGCCGCTACTGCTCCTGCAGGAATTTGACCAGTTTCTGTTATTTCTGTTGTATTTGAAAAAGCAAGTGTTGTTGCAGAGTTGTTCATCGTTGCATTGGAGGCCACAAATGCACTTTTTCTTGTTGTCATCTCTGTATCTCTATCAAAAAAATTTTTTAAATTTTTCTTAAACAGATGGATCTGTTTCATTTTCATGTACTATTTCAAATAATTGAATTATGAATTTTAAGCTATCTATCGTTCTTCTTACATCTTGGGACATTTCGGATCAGCACAAAAACACTGCTCTTTTCTGTTTATTTGATGACATGCTGGATCTATTTAAATATATAACTCAAGGAAAATTAATAGGAATCCTCACAATTTGAAAATAATTCGATTTTGAAATGAAAAATTACTACATGTAACAAGATTGGGCATAGTCTCCCGCTGAAAGTGGGGAATATAAATTTCCGTCTGTCTCTCTGTCCGTTTGTCTGTAATTCTATATGTGTGTAACACTTTCTTTTCCCCTATTGATTTTGAGGCCAAAGGGTTAAAAATCAAGGTTGTTTATTCATATTTTTTTGTCTTTATGTAAAACCTACTTTTTTCCGGGCTTGTTATCTCGAAAAACTTTTGAGTTTTTGCAATTATATTTATAACATAAATTCCTATGGCCCGACCTTCTTAAAGTGCCTTCTCCCTAGACCCAGGTATGTTTTTCTTTCAACATTACGCGATGGATACAGATTCTCTGGTTTAGCTTGTTAAGAACATAAAACATCAGTACACGTTCATTTTTCTTTAAAATGTACCCACACTTATAAAGATCAGAACTCTTGAAGTGTGTTGCTGTACAGCCCTCTGTGAAGCTACGGCAGCTGACGTCATCTACAATTCCTTCATCATTTACAACCAAACAGGAACCTGTTATAACAAAGATAAAGACTGTATAAGAAAAAATGGAATATTGCTTTTGGTTTCTTTATCTGTAAAAAACAAACATATACGTCTTATTTGTTCAATAATAATAGAACATTTTATATATTTGAATCTTATTTTATGAAATAAATTCAACAGTGACCTTTCATCATATACGTGTAACAATTGCATGAAATATTACTACACATGCATTTTGACTGTAAGATATTTCCTGCAACGTTACACTCAAAACTTACAACTCCTTTTCATACAATTAATATAACAAAGCATTTTTTTTATCGAATTTCCAAATTTATCTGACAAAGTTTTTGTATGTAAATAAATATGTTTTCCCATATAAAATTAGAAAACCATTCCAGTAAAATAAAGTTTTGATATTTGAATTTTTTCAATCATATATAAATGTATGTTAATTCAAATAAGTTTCAACACGAATTTCAACAATTTTTATAGTAAAATGTAAAATATTTATTCTCTTGTTATCAGTAGATATTTGTTCTTTGCTTGAATACCGCACACTGTACGTCACGGTATTGCATTTACATTACACAAGTTTTTGCATACTGGGGTATAAAGTACATGAAAATAAATTGCATTCAAAACATCGAAACAAGTAAAGGGGTTTAAAACGCTAAAGCATGTGTTTTATTCAGTTTAAGTAAAACGTCATTTGCGAAAATCAATAATCATTCTGTCATTGACCAGAATTTGTTACATCGGTTCCTCTATTAACTGCAGCTTTCACGAAGAATAATACATACGTTTTGAAATATGAATAACATTTGCACTCATGGCAGAGAATTGAAAATGTATACAAACAATGGATTATTTTTTGGAAAAAAGATAAAGTCTCAAAACTGCAAGGGTATATACAAACAAATTGAGTATCGCGTGTTTGCACACACTCTTGCTGTTATTAGACTATAAATTTCTCAAAAACTAATGATTCATTGCTGAAATATACATATACTACAGTGCAGGGAACTAATTTTGTTACATAAACCAGCATCAGGATCAGCATAAGTAGGATCAGGATAGAACTAGCATTAGCATCAGCATTTTAAAAATCAGCATTACTTGGATCAGCATCAGCAAGCAAAGGATAGAACTAGCATTGACCAAAGTGAAAACAGATAAAGGAAAGTCATTTAATACAAATTACAAATAAAAATTACCCCAAAATTATTTTTAATGGCTTAAAATAGCGATGCTGTTTTTTAATTATCCACTTCCGGCAGGATAATCCTACTTCCGGTAGCATTACTAGCATTGACCTAATTTCAAACCAGCATCAGGATAAGGATCAAACCAGGATCAGGATAAGGATAACTAGCATCAAAATCAGCAAGTAAAGGAAGCATCAAAATCAGCAAGCATAGGAAGCACCAAAATCAGCATTGATGCTGTAACAAAATTATTTCCCTGCACTGTACACAAACCTGGCATTTGAAGTCCCACAATGCCTTTGTAACAGTACTCAACAATGGCTGTCTTCTTGAAGTTAGGAACACAAAGGTACTGACTATTCCCGAATTTGTCCACGCCACACTTGAGTCTGGAAGCTGCTTCATTTTGTCCCGTTAGGTTAACAGGGCACGATCCCACAACATATCCGAAGCCAAGATAGTCCATATCTGGTTATAATAAAAGTAATATTTGATTCCACTCAGTGATTGTATGTAAAATATTTTTTTTACAAAAGTTAACAAAATAGAAGTTAAGTCAAGAATAAGTTATATACTGAAAGGAAAAAGAAACGCATGATAGCATAATAGCGAAAATATTAAACTATGTGGCCGAAAATTATGAAAATTGGTCAGATGTGTATTTTGGTTACTGTGCACTAAAATCGCTGGTCAAAATTACTCAACCATGAAATGTATGGTGTCATGTAAGGGAAGTGATAAAATGCCAAATTCACGTGCATTTTGATGATGACAATTTTTTATCACATTCTGTAGTGCCAAAAGATGCATTAGAGTTATAGACATCGTTTTCCGATATTTGCAGTCAGTATAAATTTCTTGCAATCATGGTATGGCTGATGGAAGTTACATTGGGTCTAGTAATTGAGTTGCATAAGTGAATAAAAAGGCAACAACATGTTGCTGTGCAGTTTGTTTTTAACTTTTCAACCAAAAAAGTTTTTTCGGTTGTCAGAGAGTAACTTAAAAGGTTTCCAACCATGAGGGTGACGTTGGCGCGTAACAATGTCATATCAAGATAGGGCTTTTCATCATGCTACCTCGGTTATTATCATGTCATTATCACTGAAACCGATATTTTACAGCAGGCAATCCTAGTCATATTTTCACCCTAATACTGACAGAAACTCTCTGCTCTAATTTGGTACGCAAGCTTGACAACATTACGACGATTTTACTCTCACACGCGCAGGTACATGCCGTATGCGTAATGTTTTTAGCATGTTCACATTGGGAAAATGTAGCTAGTGTTTGTCGATACTTCCTTACAAACATTCACATATACCAAATCAGCTACATTCTGTAAATTCTATCCTAAATCGAAAATTCGTGGGATTCATTGGGCGGAGGGATTTGTTGGCTACGGAGTAATACAGCTACTGTCAACCATTAAGAGTACCGTTGGAAGGCTTGAATGATAATCCTATGAGAAATATAAATGCTTTGGTGAACTCAATGCACAAGAAAATCAAGGTTGTTACTGATGCGCAAGGGATACTATGAGAATTTTTATTTTAATTTTTGGGGGTATCGACATATCAATTTTAATAACTCAGAAATTATCAGTCAAAGTCACACAAGATTTCGGTTACTTGTTGTTGAATTAAAATGTTTGATAACAATACTGGAAAACATATTGGAGTCCTTAGAATTGAAATCCTTACAGACAGAATTACATACAGACAGACCCGACAGACAGACCGAAATTAATATCCTCGACTTTCAGAGGGCACAATTAAGTAACAATTAGTATGAAAATTATCAGTAAGCAGTTGACATATAATATCATACATTATATATTAGAACAAGGTCAGTGTGACGACTATAAATACATGCTAAAAGGTTGAATTAAAAAAAACGACTATTGAAATCCTTGTTATATTAACGTGCTTATCAATAGCTTGCCTACTTTAAGAAATTGCTTGTACAAAGATCATCCTGGGGGCTATCGAAGCAACCGCCACACATAAAGTCTAAATGCAGATATAACATATGTTAATACATAAATAATGGAAGTTTGTCAATAGCTTGCTCAGTTTTAGAAATTTAACATACATATACACTGGGATTGGGTTACCTAAAACATGAACTTACTGGGTAACATCCAGTAAGCATAACTTTAAAAACAAGTGTGCAATTATCATTATGAATACTAGCATGGTTAGCAAAAAGCCAATATATGCAGTATCTATCATTTAAAATATCTGTGTCAAATTATTCCTTTCAAATCCTATACAAATTGTTAATATGTTGACGGTGCGACCGTTAGAGCGAGCGCAAACTCTTCTATTGATTTACTTTCGATCGGGCTCGTCAAACCGCTCGTGACATTTGGTGCGTCTAGACTCTGACGTCACATGACGTCATATGTAAGTTGCAATACCAAGAAAAACTTGAACAGTGCTGAAAGTTAATGAAGAACGTTTTTTTTTCTATTTATCTTCAATATATATCCATTAAATCAAGGCGAGTAAACTTTTTGTTGAACATTTGCTGTGATTCTCGCGAGAACGTAGCTAAAACAAGTGATGCATTGTGGGTCTAAAATCGGCATCAAAAAATTCTATCGAATGAATGTGCAGAAGTCCGAATTTTCTCTTCGCACAGGCGTTGCTTTAAGAGCTCGCTATGCGAGCGGCGCTTCGCGCCGCCTCGCTGCGCTCGCTATTAAATCTGTTGTTCATTCTTATAAAGTCACTCAGATGTGAAAATTATATGTGAAAAAATTTAAGATGCGTCTATAATCTACCAGGTTCGGCGAATTTCATTTGACTAGGTTACCTAAAAATGAGAGAGACGATAAAATCTCCGTCATTTGAGACAGAATAATTATCCTTTGTATGGAAGTGAAAAAAGATTGTATCTTTATTCTATAGTCCTTATATTTCTAATTTATTTCTTCATCTATTTTGTGCCCGTGGGGATCCGGGTTAGAATAGGTCCTCAGTACCCCCTTGCTTGTCGTAAAAGGCGACTAAATGGGGTGGTCCTTCGGATGAGACCGTATAAACCGAGGCCCCGTGTCACAGCAAGTGTGACACGATAAAGAGCCCTCCATGCTCAAAAGCCGTAAGTGCCGAGCATAGGCCTAAATTTTGCAGCTCTTCACCAGCAATGGTGACGTCTCCATATCAGTGAAATACTCTAGAGAGGGACGTTAAACAGTATACAATCATTCAATCAATCATCCATTTTGTAATTAAAAGTACATCCTTGGCTTAAGAACATCATCATTAAAGTAAACCATACTATGGAAAAGTAGTAAATCTTAAATAATTTTCAAGACATTTGTATAAGAATTTGTACTTTACGTTTTCTTATTGAATATAAATCAGTTACATGTAGTATATGTACATTTTTGTAATAAAGATTATACATATCCAGGCTTTTGAAGCAAATTAAATGATTATTAAACGTATGCGGTACTTTATTATCATATATTTATTTCGACCATTTTAAAATGAAAAGTGTACATGTATATAGCCTTTCCTATCTTTGCAAAGTCAACACTATATTAATTTAATTTCGTATAAATTTTGTTTCTTTAAATATGTAATTTTACAAATACTTTGATTGTAAGCAATTATTAGCTTTTTATAACGCTGTTTCTAAGAACTTCTCAAAAATCTTGAAACACATAATGGGGCATAAAATAAAAATTGCTGCATTAAAAGATTTTAAATTAAAGCTTCATTTTGAGACTATTCAAATTGAATTTCAAATTATAGAGTTATCCTTCCTGGCTGAGGTTGGAATATCCTTAACAATCGCTTTATGATTGATGATTGACTGATATGATTACTGTTTAACGTCCCTCTCCAGATTATTTCACGGTCTCATCCGAAGGACCGCCCCATTTAGTCGCCTTTTACGACAAGCAAGGGGTACTGAGGACCTATTCTTACCCGGATCCCCACGGGGAAAATCGCTTTATGTGTTGCTTTATTATATATGTATATATCGAACAATTATCAATCTCAAAAGATCATATACAGTGTACAATGTATAATGAACCAATATAAACTGAAAATTAAGCAAACACAGATCTCTATATTAAGCATCAAAGGTTAGATCATGTGTCATAGTGGAGTAAGGATCTCCTGTCGCCAGGTCACTCCTGTTGTGTACTCTCAATTTTTAAATTGGGTAATAGGGAAAATGGTAAACAATTCATTGAGTAAATAATGACCTTACATTAAGTATGATAAAACGTAATAGTAATTTAAGCATTCTACATAATGACAAAGATCGTATTTTCTACAAAAGAAGTGATTTATCGACCATACAACTTGAGAAAGGTTGTTTTCAAACAAGAATCAAGATTGTTTTGTTTTGTACCAATATTTTGTCTCATTTTAAAACTTCTTTGTACCCAGTGCATCCTCGTGTATATCAATATAACTTTGAATAATAAATTCCATATAAAAGCAGGTAAAATGCATTGGTTTCTTGTAAAATATTAAATAATGCAATATGACAAGGCTAACTTTTACAGTTGTACCAGTTAAATAACACAAAATATGGATTTAACGATGGTTAGGTCTACAAATTGTAAAAGTTAAACTTGGATCTCGATTCAACAATGTTTTCTGCTCACAATTCACGGATGATGCTTACGATTGTCACAGACACGAAGTATCAGTATCACTATTTTTTAAACATAAAAGTTCATTGACAGTCCGGTTGGCCTATCAAACATTTACGGTTGCAGTATTGTCAATAAGGGTACTAGTAATTTAGTGTTTGAGTAAAAGAATTGGTACTGGAAGAAGTTGGAACCTAGCCCCGCCCCTCCTCCACCTCACTGACTACCTTCCTTGTTAAAGTTTTTTTTTAAGTAAATTGATTTTCTCGGTTGATGAAAATTATAGTTTAGCATAAATTATATTAGTGATCTCAATTAAATACATAGCTTATGCATCACAAAGCACCTTTTTTACGTTGGAAAAACAATGTTTATCGAAAACCTTACTTCCGTTTTAAGAGGAGTTTGCAATTAGGTAAATTCGTTAATACTTAATATATATATATATGAAAACTCATCTGTAAGAGATATAGAAGAATATCAGAATATTACCTGATTAAGCATCAGGGTCGTTGATTGCAGGTAAAGATCATAATGTCTTCAATGGCGCTTCCTCCTTCTTCCCCATATTTCATTCACCTTGATATTTTTCATGGTTGCGTAGATTTCTACGAAAGCCGGATGGGTTCATTTCTGAGAAGATAAAAAAAAATTAACTCGTTATAACGAGTTAGTATCTCGTTATAACGAGTAAGTATCTCGTTATAACGACTTAATTATCTCGTTATAACGAATTAGTTATCTCGTTATAACGAGTTAATTATCTCGTTATAACGAGTTAGTATCTCGTTATAACGACTTAGTTATCTTGTTATAACGACTTAATTATCTCGTTATAACGAATAAGTTATCTCGTTATAACGAGTTAATTATCTCGTTATAACGAGTTAGTATCTCGTTATAACGACTTAGTTATCTTGTTATAACGACTTAGTTATCTCGTTATAACGACTTAGTTATCTCGTTATAACGAATTAGTAATCTCGTTATAACGAGTTAATTATTTAAGAAATAAGGTATCATTTTTAAACATCTATCGGGATATAAATACGGGCCCAAAGGGCTTTATGATGAATTTAATCTCGTACCGACCCGTATTTATAGCCCGATAGATGTTTTAAAATGATACCTTATTACTTATATTTACATTTGTGATTAATTCATACTTTATATTTGCATAATTGTGACTTTTAACATGTGAAATGCATTAGTATCTCGTTATAACGATTAGTTATCTTGTTATAACGACTTAGTTATCTCGTTATAACGACTTAGTTATCTCGTTATAACGAATTAGTATCGGGATATCTATCGGGATATAAATACGGGTCGGTCACGAGATTAAATTCCATAAAGCCCAAAGGCTTTATGATGAATTTAATCTCGTACCGACCCGTATTTATAGCCCGATAGATGTTTTAAAATGATACCTTATTACTTATATTTACATTTGTGACTAATTCATACTTTATATTTGCATAATTGTGACTTTTAACGTGTGAAATGCATTAGTATCTCGTTATAACGACTTAGTTATCTTGTTATAACGACTTAGTTATCTCGTTATAACGACTTAGTTATCTCGTTATAACGAATTAGTAATCTCGTTATAACGAGTTAATTATTTAAGAAATAAGGTATCATTTTTAAACATCTATCGGGATATAAATACGGGTCGGTCACGAGATTAAATTCCATAAAGCCCAAAGGGCTTTAAGATGAATTTAATCTCGTACCGACCCGTATTTATAGCCCGATAGATGTTTTAAAATGATACCTTATTACTTATATTTACATTTGTGACTAATTCATACTTTATATTTGCATAATTGTGACTTTTAACGTGTGAAATGCATTATTTTTCAAACCCAACGGCATGTATGTAATTCACTGAACGCGCGTTGACCCTTTATGACGTCACTGAGAAATTACGTCAAACGATTATCCAAACGCACATCTATGACCTCTTGACCCCATACCTGTATTTATACAGTTATAGATACGCATTCCTTTCAGTAGTGTTATATAAAGGAAAACATTTGCAAATGTAAATATCTCGTTATAACGACTTAGTTATCTCGTTATAACGAATTAATTTTCTCGTTATAACGAATTAGTTATCTCGTTATAACGAGAAAATTAACTCGTTATAATGAGATAATTTTCTCGTCATAACGAGTTAATTTTTCTCGTTATAACGAGTTAAAAACTGATCTAAAGTTGATATATCTAAGTGATAGGAAGTATAGTAGTATTGCAGATAAAACCGAGTTTGTTAAGTTTGTTTATAGTGTGTATGATTAAGATTTTTATTGAAAAACAGCAAACTAGTTTGTTTTTTTCGAGGGGTTGTGCCTTTGATTGTATTCTGTTTATGTATAAACGATGCAGTTGATTTGTATTGTATACTTAAAAGACCGAAGACAAATACATGTACATGTATACGGAAACTTATGACTGGCTCTTGATGTTGTGTTATGAGTGGGCAGTAGCCCCCGAATTTTACGCCCATGGCCTCATTGCTGATGTTTCCATATCCCCCTTCTTCAAAACATTTCTGACTCTCAAAATAATATATATCACACTGTAAGTGTATATAATATATGTTGCATTAACGCCTGCGTTAGCTTCCTATTATAATGTATTAATTTAGGTACTAAGACATTGGTTATGAAAGCTAATAAGTCATCCAAAACATATCAGAAAAATTAGTGTCTTTTATCGGAGAAAGTTGTCATAAATAAATTGCCAAACTTTGAAGCAAGTACATTTGGTCATAGATTTTTTTTCATATTGTGTCCTTGAAGACGTTCACGTATAAATGTGTAAATAAAGATTGCTATACTTATCAAATTGTGATTATTGACATCAAGATAGTTCAGGATTAATATTATTTAAACAATATCGCAAATTAAAATTGCAACTTTTTATCAATTTTAAAGTGAAGTATGACTGATAATTATCAATTAAACATCAATGGCATTAAAACTACAGCCATTTTTAATTTATAACTAACTCGTTATATCGAGATAATTTAATCGTTATAACGAGATAACTAAGTCGTTATAACGAGATAACTAACTCGTTATAACGAGATAATTAACTCGTTATAACGAGATAACTAAGTCGTTATAACGAGATAACTAACTCGTTATAACGAGATAACTAAGTCGTTATTATACAAATATGGACTCAATGTAGGTCAATATGCATTTATAATGACCCAGGATGACAGATATTGACCTCAGATACATGTAGTATATCGACCGAGGGCGCTAGCCCGAGGTCGATATACTTCATGTATCTGAGGTCAATATCTGTCATCCTGGGTCATTATAAATGCATATTGGCCTACATTGAGTCCATATTTATTATATTATATAATTTCTCAAATTTATTAGGCCTAGTACAATGCATATCTTTTTAATGTTTACAGAGATATTGATATGCAGTTGTTGTAATCCATTAATAAGTTAAATGTAAATGTTTCAGAATTTAATAAATTTTCACATAAAAAACTAACAATAACAACCAGAGTTTCCTTCATTGAACAACAGTCCTTATAATGTATCTTTAAACAGAATTCTTAACATTTAACAATAACAATAATTTTAAATTATCACATAGATAACAAATAATAAATAAAAAATAGATATCACAGATGTATTTCATATAGGCAATAAAAATGCCATTATTTTTAACCTTAAAACATATTATGACAATGTGCAACAATTAAAACAATAATAACAAAACATGTAACAAAATTAAAAATAATAACAGTAACATCACTGAAGTTATTATTCTTGAGTTCATGAACTCTTTCACTGATTTCACCAAAATACTAGGACATGTACTTGGTCTACTGATTATTCTTAAAACTGATATTGTAGGTGACTGTTACATTTGAACAATTGTACATGGTTGGTAAAACAGGAACATTTGGCAGGGGAATATTTGCATAAATATTGTCTAAACCATCATTCAAGGTTGCTTCATCATTGCAAGTTGTCGAAGTTGGAGAACATGGCTTTGGCAAAGGGAAACCAATTTCAAAATTTGCATTGGTAGGTAATTGAGCCTGGGTAATGGTGGATGATGCGTTAGACTTTGAATTTGATGACACGACTCCTGAACGTGCACTTAAAGTTTCTGACATTAAACGTTTTGTACTTTCGGTTGTTTGACCCGAGTAAGTTTTTAAAGAACTTTCCGATTTGTGCCCTGTGACACTCATGATATGTCTACTCGGCACACGTGCTTCGTCTAGAATGTGGACGGTGGTTGCTCGAAGGGAATGGTTGGTGTATCGCCTTGACAAGGAGGCTGCTTCACTGATGGCACTCATCATGTTTCCAATCTTGTTGTGCCCCAACACTACATTATTGAAGTATACGTTATCTTTTGGTGCTGCACGCGGCTGTTGAAATAAAAATGGGCACAGTGGGTTCAATCTTCGGATAAGTTTCACAAAGCTCCTCAAAGGACATCGGTCACTATCTTTAAAAGAAAAATAATAATAGTCATTAACATTTTTTTCCCCAATGTTCTAACACTTTTAAGAAAACACTGTTATTTTTGTGAACTTATATAGTACTGTATTAGAACATACCTTTAATTTCATACATTCTGCCTTCTGCTTTGCAGCTGTCGTCTTGATGATTCTTTGTTTGTTCATCTCGAATTTTCTCCACATACATACATCCCTCTCCATCAGTACTAACAGAAAAGTCTGATCGTCGTAGAGTTCTTAAATTTTCTCGGCCTCTTCTACCAAAGTGCATCATGATGTCCACAAAGACCTACCAAATATCAAAATAAAGTATTAATAACTTTAGGCTTGTTACATGTTATCTAATATATGACTATTTGCTTTTATCAATTTTAAAATTTACCTTGTGTTGCAACACCTGGGCTGAGTCAGAGCTTGAAAGGTAGTCATACATTTTTATCAAGTCAGCATCAGATACAGGAGGATGGTGGTCTATGTTAGCCTGCCCCTGCCTCTTCAATTCCATTGTCATCCCTTTTTTTTGTTTGAAAATAAATAAATTCTCAATCCTCTAAATACATTTCATAAACAAATACCAAAATAATCAGTAAGCTCATTAACTAGATAATTCGTGATAGAAGCCGTTAGTCCATTTATGAAAATCTTGAGTCTTACCTTTGAAAAACTTGTTTGACTCTCGGAAGAGAGGTCCCTTGATAATGTCAACATCTGGACGAATAGATTGCAGAAATCTCTGTATACCCTGACGATATGATAAGAGAGTGGTTTTTTTGTACATTTCCCCTTTGTTATTACGGAGTTCCACATAAAATCTCCCCAGCAGACTATCGAGTTCCTCGCACGCTAGGCCTTCGAATTCGGGACTTATTTCTTTAGAACGTAAATATTCACGAAATACGTTGACTGAAATTCTTGTTAATCTTTTAGTATTATCTGATTCCGAGTTATTTACTATCTCCTTTAAGTCCTCTTCGCTATAGCTCGCAAACTTGCGAGCTTTCGTGGAATCCATATTTTGATTGAAGCGAAAGTGAAAACGAGGCAGCTCGTGCGAGTCATTATTCGCTTTCAGCGGTCGTTATTAAAAAATAAGTACTTCGTATTGACCAATCAGAATATCGGATTTCACAAAGTTATATAATATAACGAGATAACTAACACGTTATAACGAGATAACTAATTCGTTATAACGAGATAATTAACTCGTTATAACGAGATAACGAAGTCGTTATAACGAGATAACTAACTCGTTATAACGAGATGATTAACTTGTTATAACGAGAAAACTAACTCGTTATAACGAGATACTAACTCGTTATAACGAGATAAGTAATTCGTAATAACGAGATAAAACTAAGTCGTTATAACGAGATAATTAAGTCGTTATAACGCGATAATTAACTCGTTATAACGAGATACTAACTCGTTATAACGAGATAACTAAGTCGTTATAACGAGATAATTAACTCGTTATAACGAGTTAAATATTTTTTTGTCTTTTCAGAAACGAGCCTATCCGGCTTTCGTAGATTTCAACAGTGACTTCACCTGATTTCTTAATCCACCATATACCTTATTTAAAGGGGTATTCAGATTTCAGATTACGCGGAAAAATGTGTTTTCTGTAAAGAGAGCTTTTTGAAAAGGCATTGTCACAAGCAGTACAGTATATGTAATAGGATATCAGAAATTTTTGTCGAATAATGAAATAAAATCGTAAAACTTTTTTTTCCGCTTAGTCTAAAAAGTATAATTCACATTAATCTGTTCACATACATGTACATGTGTAGGTGTTCTTTCACACAAAATCTGTTTTTTTTTTTTGTTTTTTTTTTTTTTGTTTTTTTTTTTTTTTTCATTTTAAACCAGGTAGGAAAGAAATGCATTTTTTGTTACCGAAAAGGTTGTATTGGAGGCAATTGAGCATAATTATGATTATTAACATATTAATAGATTAGGCCATTTTCTGAAATATCATTTAATATATATCAACATTATTGATTTGTTCATATCAATTATAATTTTGAAAATTATTTTCAAATACATAGTAGCACAAAACCAATTGAACTTATCTTAAGATATAAACATAATTAATGCGAGGATGTAAATTTGTTGGTGGGTTTTTTTTAAATTTATTTTTGGGTGAGGGGGGTCCCTTTAAATTATTTCAAGATCCCCATCTACATTCAGCTCCGATATTTACACTCGAGACCTCAGTACGGATATAAAAATACAGCGACTTATAAATATTTGTGTCAAATTATTCATAAAACACCCTATACAAATTGTAATTATATCTGCTGTTCGTTGTTATAAAGTCACTCAGATGTGAAAATAATACGTGAAAGAATTAAACAAGACTCTATAAATTACAAGGTTTAGCGAATTTCATCTGACTAGGTTACCTAAAAAAGACGACGGTGTAATCTCTGTCGTTTGACACAGAATTCTTTTCCTTTGTATAGAAGTCATAAAAGATTGTATCTTTATACTACTACCCTATCACCTTTATATTTTTTTGATTTAATAGTTCTTTCACATTTCAAACAGATTAAAAGTGCATAGGTGGAATTAGCAGTTTGATCCAAATGAATACTTTTAATGTCTGTGCTTCTCTCAATATTTCATTTATTTTTGTATAGCACATTGAATGGAAAGATTTATTTTTTTGACCACATTTCTTTCTTTAATTCGGTTAAAAATCAAAATCTTGCATTATTTATTTTCTTAAATTTGCTCTAATAATATCTTTGTTTACTTAAAAAAAAAACAAATTAGAGAAAGCAAAATAATGCCATTTTCTAAAACGGAACAAACGGGAAAAAGATTGGTTAAAACAAGATGTGTTTGTAAAACACTGATAATGCCCCCGTATGGCAACATAGCAAAGATTAAGCTTTTCTTAAGTGCAAATTTAATTAATTGGTACCAAAAGTAGGGTATTCTCACTGGAAAACAATTGTGAAATTTAAAAGTAAGCTAATGTTAAAGTTTTTTAATAATTACAAAAATCTCCAAGGTAAAGGTCAAAAGGTCAATGTAATTAGTATCAAATGAAAGGTCTTGCCACATAAAATACTTTTGTAGAGCATGAAAGCCCTAGCCCTAACCGTTTAGAAGGTATGGTCAACGTTCAATTTCTAAAAAAAGTAGGTCAAACTCCAAGGTCAAGGTCAAAGTTATTGTTATCAAATGAAAGGTTTTGTCATAATGATCAAATATGTAAAGTATGAAAGCACTAGCCCTAACTCTTTAAAAGTTATGGTCAAGGTTTGCTTTTTTAAAGTAGGTCAATCTCAAAAGTCAAGGTCAAAGTGTCGAAGTTCTTGGTATCTAACGAAGGGTCTCTCACAAGGATTACATGTATGAAGTACATGTATGAAAGCCCTATCTCTTACCGTTCAAAAGTTATGGCCAAGGATTACGTTTTTTTTTAACAAGTAAGGAAATCTACAAGGTCAAAGGGTCAAAGTTGTTGTTATCCAGTGAAATGTCTTTTAACATACATTATATATGTGAAGTATAAATGTCTTGGTTTCTACTGTTCAAAAGATATGGCCAAAGTAAAATTTTAAATTTTTCATGTAAGAGTGGGTCAAACTCCAAGGTCAAGGTCAAAAGGTCAAATTTGGTGGTACCCAAAGAAAGGTCTTGTCACATGGAATACACATATGAAATATGAAAGTCAAAGCTCCACTAAATCAAAAGTTATGGGCAAGGTTAAAGTTTTTGCGGACAAACAGACAAACAGACAGAGAGATAGACAGACGGACGGACGGACACGACAAAAACTATATGCCCCCGAAACTTCGTTTACGGAAGTATAATAATGAATAAGATTTTTAACTAAAGCAAGCTGAGAACTCAATGCGTTACATGTGCCGATAGGCTAATTGAAACAGGTAGTTAAAATTGGGAATTTGAATATAAATGCCCAAACATTTAAAATGGCCACTCCTCACTGACACTGGTTAAAAAATAAAAGTTAAAATTAAATGAAAAAAATCTGTTTTATCAACTTTCTTGATATCTAGGTATTTTCAATGTAATGTTATTTTATCTTTAATAAAGTGAAGGTTTCGTCAAAGGTCAACATGTTTAACAAAATTATCTTTACTATAGCTCCAAAACTACAGTGTATGTGTGGTATATATTCAAAACGTTTATAGTTTATAAATATAATTTATATATATTATTTGTACCAATGATTAATAGATAGGAAGTATCACTTGATAACAAATGTTTTAAAAAAGATATTTTATTGAGAAAAATTTTATCAGAAAAAGTGCATACTTAAAGAAAAATGCACCTGCTTAATTCTGTCCTTTTTGTGAAAAACAACACAGTAGAAATAATATATGTTTATCACTGAAGGGCAAGTTGGACGTGAATGGTCTCTGAAAGCGTGTTATTGAAAGCATGACATGTATAAAGACAAGACTCCTATAGAATCCGCTATTTGTAATGTTCTTTCACTTTCTCGTCTTAACATTTGGACAAAATAAACAGGGAAAACAACTTTCCAGAGGCTATCCAAGTCCAACTTGCCCTTCATTGATAAACATATTTTGTTTCTGCAATGATGTTTTTCACTAAGAGCACGGAATGAATAAGGTGTATTTTTTTAACATATATGCATTTTTAAAAAGAATTGTTCTCAATTAATATTATTCCAAGTACTTTTTTATCAAGTGATACTTTCTATCTGTTAATCAATGAAAAATTTATGAACTGTAAAAGTTTTAACTATATCCCTCACAAAGTTTTGGGGCTATCGTAAAAAAACATTTTTGGACATGCTGACCTTTGACGAAACCTTAATTTCATAGCACTGGCTTAATATTTTTTAATCATAATTTACAATATTATATTAATGTTCTATTAGAAATAGTTGAGGACAGTATTCTTGTTAATTTTAGCCCTCCTGCTGAAACACATGACATTTCCGTCATTATTTCCCGAAATTCTCCGTTTCCTTCCTACAAGAATTTGTCTTGTTACAGAAGGATCGCACTAAGTGGTGAGTTTTAGAGGTGAAAAAAACTCAGTTTTTTTTTTAAACAAATTTAGACATGCTTTCTACTAGATATACTCTTTGTATTTTTGTCTAAATCAAAAGATCAAAAGAAACGGATTTATTTACGTTTGCATAAGTATTTTTTGTATTCATTATCATTTATCACAGATTTATCTTTTTTCTGTGTAAATTTACACTTAAGACATGGCTTTACATTAAGGGAAAAGGCATGTGGGACGCTTCGTTTTAATTTTTCACTTTCATAGTATACAATAGACAATATAGCTTAACTACAGTTGTATCATATACGGCTATTTTGCTTTACATGTGTAGCAGTGGTACATGTATAGTACACTGTATTTATAAAATACATAGCTTAGCTGTGTTATGTCTATGCCTTTCAAGACCTGATAACATTTTATTTTCAATTTTTCTGCTTGTCAAGAATATGTTGTTGAATACTTGTTGGAAAAAGTTTGAAACTGAAAACGATTCTTTGCACCCCCCCCCCTCCAAAAAAATGAAATTTGCTTCCAGCGGGTCTGTAAAATATATTTTTATCTTACATGTATCAGTCTACCTGATCTTGCTACTAGAATCCATTGTCTCTCACCATTACTTGAATTCTTGATTTTCTGTCATACTTATAGATTCTTTTTTTAAATAAGCATTTTAAAAATTAAAATTATTAGCATTTTGTACGATTTCATCCTATTTCTTGTCTTCATGGAATTCTAAAGAATCGTAACAGGTAATAAACAAACCAATAACAAAAACTCCTCGTAAATTCCGTCTTCCTATTTTAGAAAATGAAAGAACATAATATCAATTTCCGTTGAGATACATGGGGCCGCTATCATTAAAACACCGATCAGGTACATATTCTTTCAAAATTTTTGTCCAGCTAAAACGCAACATATTCATGTACAGAATAACAATACTGAACCCACAGAAGAATCTAATATGCAAATGTATCAATATTTGTCCGTAAAATCTGTAATTGTATAACATCGCATAAAATTAACGCTTGTATTAAAACATTTATAAAAATACATTTATTTTTTTACAATTTATTTCGGATTAAAAAAAACTATTTCTTTTTATTCTCTATCCTTTGTGATATAACTTGGAATTTTGCTATTTTAAATTGATTTTTTCAATAATTTCATCTGCCTCCAGCTTCAGCATTATTTATTCATCATGTCATCATCTTGGTCTACATGGGTCGAGCGCTTCATGGCAGATAAAACTAACATGGAGAAATGTGGAATCTATGGAAAAACAAACGGAGAACCTTGGGCCGTATCGGAAGGAATGGCGGCAACTCCCGAGGAGGTCCAACATATCAGTTCCAACTATGACGACAACGACATATTTTTCACCGAGGGATGTCGAATCGAGGGAAAGAAATTCAATTTCCTGAGAAAAGTGGAAGAAGTCCTGGTTTTCAAGAAGAGTAAGGAGGACCAAAACGAGGCTACCGGAAGTGAAAAAGCAGACATGCCATTTTTACTGGCGATGAATACCATTCAAGCGTGTCTGATAGGAATCTCAAAGGGAGACGAGGAGAGCAAGTTTAAGGCGATACGGTTGATGGAAACTATTGCCGAGGAACTGAAAAAGACAAAGTATTAAAGAAAATCAAATCAATACTTAACAGTTTAATTCCTTCCACTGTTTAGCGTATCATTTAAACTTTCAAAAAAATATTTAATTTTTTTTTCTCTTTTATGTACATCATGTGACATACACGAACATGATAAAACGTTAAATAATACATGTGTATCTTCTTATTTTTTCATTTCCTATTCATTCTTTATTTAAGACTTGCTCTTCAACTTAATTGTTTATCATTATTGGATAAATTTCTCATACACTTTCATGAACATACCAATAAAATTAAGTGTGACGTTCTATATACTTATATGATATTATATGTTTTATACATATACAAGGTTAGCTTATATAAATATAAACTATAGAAAAGGGTTATACGCTTTTATATGCTCATTCTGGCTTTTTTTACTTTAATGCAAGGCGAGTTTCTATGAATATAAACTAGAGAAAAAGGTTATACTCTTTAATATACTTATTTGATTTATACAAGGCTAACTTGTATAATAAAAAGATGAACTAGAGAAAAGGGTTATACTCTTTCATATACTCATATGTTTTACACTTTTATACAAAGCTAGCTTATTCAATTCATTTTTTAAAATATTAATTGTTTTATATTTATAGCATTGTAAATAAATATTAAGTATCTAAGTCATTCAAAATAGCGTGGAGGAGTTTTATTTAATGAACAACGTTGATATCATTTAAAAACTCTCATCTGAGCAATGTTTTGTGATCGTTGTTTTCGATAAAGAGTAAATATAGCAAATCTTTAGTTGCATTTATAACGACTCCCTCCCCCAAGAAAAATAGTGATGCACAGTCATAATAAATGAATATGTTGGCATATTTCTGTCCCCTATATGCATGATATCAACATGCAAGAAAATTATATCAACATTCAAAATGATTATGTTGATATGCAAGATAATTATGTTGCATCTTGAGATAATAAATCTTACATGTAGGGGACAGAAATATGTCACCATAAATGAAAGATCAAAAAGCACATATACAGTGTATCAAGTTTGAATCCTTAGTAAAGTATGGTTGTACATTTTTGCAAAATAAATCATGTTAACATGAAAAGAAATTATGTAAACATCTGACTTATTTATGTCTACATGCAAAATAATTATATTAACATTAAAGTAACCATTCTCCTAAGAGAATGTGATTTCAATGTTGATAAATGTTTGTTTACGTTATTTCACAACATCACACAAGCAATATGCAGCAGTATTATGTTCATATGCGACTTATTTCTCTTCAAATGCAAGATAAGTGTGTTAACTTGAATTTATCCGCCATATTTACTGACCTTGATAGATTTTATTTTGGGACAGCCAATAAGAATTTAGAATCTATAGGAGCGGATCTTTTAGGAATTCCCTTATTTTAAGCATACATATCGCTGTTTGCTTAAAAATAACACTTGAAATGGTTTTATATATCGATATTTTTGTGATACATTTCAGCACAGTCGTTTATAAACATTGACATTTGCTTTATTAAGCTGTTCTAAATTTCAAGCGAAAATCTCAGTACGTCACGCGTGAACTGTCATGGCTGCTGCTGGTAAACATGCAGATATATTTTACATGGTTTTCGAGTTTAGCGGGCTATGTTGTTGACAGTGAATAAAAATTCCGTCTTATAAGAAGTAAGTTGAATGTAAAAATAATTTATTTTGCCTTCAATCGCCCGTATTTAAAAAATATATTTGCACCATTACGGAGATGCGATGGAATTGTAGCCCTCTCCAGAAAACATCAGATGAAAAAACAAGAGGCCCATGGGCCACATCGCTCACCTGAGAAGCTTTGACCATTCTGTTCTTTACTAGATTTCCCCCTTGTAATACATATTGTGACCCCACCCTACTGATCATAATTTAGACAATTTGAAATCTACACTACCCCAGGATGCTTCCACACAAGTTTCAGCTTTTCAAAGATTGTCCAATATAATTCTATGTAAAACTTTGATTCCCCACTGTGTCCCCCCCCCCCCCGGTCATGATTTGAACAATTTAGAATCTACACTACTCCAGGATGCTTCCACATAAGTTTCAGCTTTTCTGGCCCAGTGGTTATTAAGAAGAAGGTTTTCAAAGATTTTTCCTATATATTTCTATGTAAAACTTGGATTCCCCATTGTGGCCCCGCCCAACCCCAGGGGTCATGATTTGTACAATTTAGAATCTACACTATTACAGGATGCTTCCACATAAGTTTCAGCTTTTCTGGCTCAGTGGTTCTTGAGAAGAAGATTTTAAAGATTTTTCCTATATATTTCTATGTAAAACTTGGATTCCCCATTGTGGCCCCGCGCTACCCCCGGGGGTCATGATTTGAACAATTTAGAATCTACACTACCCCAGGATGCTTCCACATAAGTTTCAGCTTTTCTGGCACAGTGGTTCTTGAGAAGAAGATTTTTAAAAAATTTTTCTATATATTTCTATATAAAACTTAGATTCCCCATTGTGGCCCCGCCCTACCCCCGGGGGTCATGATTTGAACAATTTAAAATTTACACTACTCAAAGATGCTTTCACATAAGTTTCAGCTTTTCTGGCCCAGTGGTTATTAAGAAGAAGATTTTCAAAGATTTTTCCTATATATTTCTATGTAAAACTTAGATTCCCCATTGTGGCCCCGCCCTACCCCCGGGGGTCATGATTTGAACAATTTGAAATCTACACTGCTCAAAGATGCTTTCAGATAAGTTTCAGCTTTTCTGGCACAGTGGTTCTTGAGAAGAAGATTTTTAAAGATTTTTCCTATGTATTTCTATGTAAAATTTAGATTCCCCATTGTGGACCCGCCCAATCCCCGGGGGTCATGATTTGAACAATTTAGAATCTACACTACCCTAGGATGCTTCCACATAAGTTTCAGCTTTTCTGGCCCCGTGGTTCTTGAGAAGAAGATTTTTTAATGAACCCACCCTATTTTTGTCTTTTCTTGATTATCTCCCCTTGTTAAAGGATTTGGCCCTTCATTTTAACAATTTAAATTCCCCTTCACCCAAGGATGCTTTGTATTAAGTTTGGTCAAAATTGGCCCAGTGGTTCTTGAGAAGAAGTCGAAAATGTAAAAAGTTTACGGACGGACAGACGGACGACGGACACAATGTGATCAGAAAAGCTCACTTGAGCCTTCGGCTCAGGTGAGCTAAAAATCGGAGAGGGCTACATTATTGCAACTACATTCAAGATAATTGATATTTTAAAACATGCAATTTATATTTAAAACATCCTACAAAATGTAGATATATAATATGTTGATATGCAACTTATTGTCTTGCGTGATGACATAAATCAGTCGCATTTCGACATAAATAAGTTACATGTTAGCATAAATGAGATTCATGGTAGCATAACTAAGTTGCATATTGGCATATACTGTACAATCATAAATCTTCAAGAGGTCAAAAGAACGAGGGCGCTTTTGATCGGTATTCGGCATGAATCTGGGCGTTATTGAAAAGGGAAAATTTTATCGACATGTTACATGAAATTTTAACATCTTTTTTTAATTTAGAGGCCAGGGTTCCTGTGCAACAGGAGAGGAATATTTTCCCGAAATTGAGCTTTGAGTTGCTAAAAAATAACTTAAAAATTGGCCAGATCAGACATTTGGTACAAAATGGTACATTTTTAAACACGTTTTTCTAAAAATTTTCTATCTCTGGGTCTTCTCTCCATGATTTTTAAAAGTTATGTGTGTATATTTTAATTCAATGAAACGAATACACATTTTTAAAAAATGGAGAGAGAACCCAGAGACCACGAAAAAATCAACTTTTCCCCAAAAAAATCCAAATGTGTGAATGTGGTGCTTCTTTGTCCTTTTAAAATCATCTTTATATGTGTAGCGTTGATAGATCAGTAAGTTCGGCTACCTGTTCAGTGCAGTCGAAAAGAAAAGTTTTTGTATGGCCGTTATTTTTTTTCCCATGCAAACAACCATTTATTTTGTCAGTTTCGTTTATGTACTGATCTATTGAAAAACTGAACCAAAAAAAAAAATTGGTTCAGTTTGGTTCTCGAGCGAAATAAATTCCAATCTTCTATTCTATAATGTACGTGTACACGTACTGTAGATTCCTTATTTTACGCGAGTACTTATTATCGCGATATGGCGATTTAACGTCAAATCGCTAGAATATATATTCGCGAATGGGCGGTTGATAAAGAGAATTTACATGGATTTCCGCACCATAAAAATAAAAGCGAGAAATTTTATTTCGCGAGTGATGCTTCTCGCGGAATTACGAGATAATAAATTCCTCGCGTTTAATTAGCAATTTACAGTATCATGCATCTATGATATTATTATTATGATATGATATAAATATTTTAGGTGTTTATTTTTGTGAAACATTACTATGTTGTAGTACCCCCTAGGAAAAACGGATATAAATGTTACAATCTCACAAAGTCTTCAAACTAAATGAAAAAAAATCTATAGACATGTTTGTAAAATCTGACCAGCTATGTTCAGCCAACCAAATCATGGACATTTAAACCATAAATGTTTCGTACAAATGATTCCTGCAGATCACACGCCAAATCTGCCCATCTTCTTTCGTGGTTTGAGAAAAATACATTGGTTCATTAGGATTTGATTTCGTGGTTGAAGAATTGTTTAATAGTAATTACCGGTATATAATGTGAACATTGCCTTTGGAGGTGGATATCGTCATACCTTGAAAACAACGAAAATTAAACCCCACGAAAATGAATGATTTTACGGTAAATCATATAATTATTGGCATAAATTTTTATAAGTAAACATATAATATATACATTTATCACGCTATCTATTTTCACACAAAATTTGAATTATAAATTGATTTCAGATTCAAAAATACATTAATAAGTAAATCATACGAGGGTTGTCCAGGAAAAACGCGAACATTTTGAATATTTCAAATACTATTCAACCGAAACTAATAATATTTTGCAAGCTGTTGGAAAATGATGTTTAGTTATTTTGACAAAATATTATAGGTCTCTGATGTCATATGAATATAAAAGAAGCATTTAAATGTCGATGGTGGAGCACGACAATTTTATGACTTTAGCAAACTGCATTGTCACTGAGTGCATCAGACTATAAAGAAATACATTGTTAAAATATGTACCCTAGATAGCTACTCAATAATATGATATACTCGTTTTCTAAAAATTCATTTTATTTGACGTAATTAATGACAAATATATGAGGATATGTTCTTTAAGCAATTTGACCAGTTAGGTTTATGATCGGGATTGTGAAATTATTTTAATCTGTTAAAAGAATTAACTCGGCAATCTTTTGGTAACATTAGTATTAAAAATGTATAACTTGGTAACTATAAGAAAACTAAATACAGTGTCGAATTTAATGGTTAAATAAATTTTATCACAGAAACAAATTCAAAAACAAAATCACAAACATTAGGAGCTATGTTTTGACGTCACCAGTGTTGCGCCGACCGCTGATTTGTTAGATATATTGACATGAGAGGAAAATGTTACATAGAGAGATATTTCATTGAAAGTTTTGGGCATTTTTCAAAAAATACTAATCATATATACAAAATTTTTGACTTTATAGTGTAGGTGAAACACAAGATATTGAGGATGCTTGCAATATCTGGGACAACCCTCATAATGCTTGGTAAGACATGAAATCATACCATACTAAACACTAACGGGAAAGGTGTTGATATTGGAGATATATTACCTTTAAATGTATAAATAATTTTATTTAATAAAAATACCGATATTGAGAAATTCTCAATAACATTCTTTATAAGTTATTTAATTGAAATAGATAAGGTGATAGACTTTGGAATATTCTTAGCTTTATAATAAAGAAGTTATTGAAATTAGCCTATATTGGTGAATATTGGCTCTCCTTGGCAGAACAATGCACTCCAACACAAGCTCGTGCAATTGTAAAACCAACCTGTGCCAATATTCACCAATATGAATTCAATAACCCAATAATTTCAGGGCGTCAATATATAGCATTTCATATCAGGCATTCAGTTTGGTATTTCACAAAGAGACGGGCGATTAATGGTACACTTGTAATAATGTAGGAGGCCAATATCGTCCCATATCAGGCAATCGCCAGGTTTGTCTGGGATATTGTAAAATACAAGGAACGCCTGGTCCACGTTCATCCCGCTTATCCACTTCCATGTTCCCGCCAAGTCGTTGAAATGTCCCCCGATAAAGTATTGATGATAATTCAAATATCCCATACCGTAATCTGGAAAGAAAATTGAGTTTATAAGATTTTTTTTTCGGAAATGATTTTGTGTTTTGTACTTGTGAATATATATTTAACTATTTTACCTCGTGGTACAAATTTAATATACAACCTCTTTATTATGTTTACAGGTATGCCAGGGTTGTTCGGAATGCTTGAGGACCATTCCAACCTTTGTTTTTCTACCGTATAAGCAGAAATTTTAACCAGGGTTTAATTTAGGCATCTTTAGCGATGGTATTGAGAAAATGTAAACTTACTATTCATTCAGCATTTAAGGTTACGGTCTTTGTATTAAATCAATACATCCGTTAAATTGCACTTATCGGTGTCTTTGAGAAATTTAAAATGAAGCAGGTGTAAATATATCTTATGTATGGAAAGTCACGGGAGAAATCCAAAATAAACATATTATATAGATATCATCAAACATGAGTTTTCAACACATGAATTAAATACATCTATTAGGGTGCACCATGGGGTCAGTACAATCTGCGAAAAAACCTTTAGACCTATTAAGGGTTTGTATTTGTGCATATGCCCAAAGATACATATTCTGAAAACCAAAATTATCATATATATATCTTGACGTAACATGATTTCCCTAGCAAGCATTGCATTTATAAAATATCTTTGCATATGCCAAAAGATAAATATTCTGAAAACCAAAATCATCGTTTATATATCTTAACGTACCATGATTTTCCTAGCAAGCATTGCATTTAGAAAATATAAATAAAGATAATTAAAACGTATCATATTCTACTGCCATGGTGTTTTATTAACCTTTCGCAAAAAGCACTGGCTTTTACAGTTGACAGCTTATTTAAATTCGTGATTGATAATCAATAAGAAAATATTAATAGTAGATATAGTTATGGTATTAGTGACGTTAACATTATTTACCAACATCAGAGATTATTGAGTTATTATAAGAAAGCATCTTCTTTTATTTTATTTTTCTAAAACAAGAAAAAACTTTTAAAAACAAATCTTAAAAGAGTTGGGCGAAGAGAATTTATCCCCTTTTAGACAACGTAGCATGTGCTTATGTGCCTTAAAAAAATCCGCAATATTTCCATTTCTATTTGTTTTTTCCTTTGATAACTCTTTAAAAGTCAGTGGGGTTGATTTCTTTATTATTCTTCAGGAGTGAAAATAAGGCTAATCGATAGGCCAGGGACTAAGGAGACCTAATGTGAAGGTAAATCTCGTGCGCATCTTTGTTTCAGACGCTAAGGGGGCCTAATATGCATGTAAATCTCGTGCAGCTGTCGCTGTGTTTGATGTCAGTGAGCGAGGACTATTGAAATTGACATGGGAGGCTTCGTGGAATTTAAAACGATTATAGTCTGCATTTTTGAAATATAAATTTACAATTTTATTTCACAATAAAATGGAAATATAAGGAATCACTGTCTAGTTAGCAGAGTATGCCAGGGACATCAATGATACTTGGGATCGTTGGAATATTTATGCAAAGTTATGCAAATTATCCCACGTTTCCAACTATCGTTGATGTCCTGACATACTGTATTAACTAAACAGTGATTCCTTGAATATTCTCTGTTAAGCTAAATATTCATATCGCAAAAGAGCTGCGTAATATTTTCTTCGTGTAGAAAGTTAGCGCTTTGCGCAAAAGTATTTTCAGAGTACTTATACGTTTACAAGATTTTTAGTGTACGTTTTAAACTGACCATTTAAGACGCTATTGATTTTATCATGTGTGTCCAGTATAGCCAGTCTTGCTCCAGAGCCCATGCCTTGGCAAGTGTTTTTGGCCTGTATCCAACTCAGACTATTCTCATTGTTATAATAACAAAGATTTTCAGCAGGTTTCCAGATAAACGGCGGTGGACAGCTCCATGAACCTGTTTATAAGGAAAATGAGAATTACGAACATTTTTAATGAAAACCTTTCAAAATAAATTTTGAAAAAAATGAATGTTTAATATTATAAATAAATAAATCAAATCAGAGATACATCAAGCATCATTTAATTCGAGAAAATAATAAAATGAACAAAAAATATATACATCTAAAAAGATTCTAAGATGAACATCAATGTTCTTGTGTACATGTACCTGTTGTTGAAATCGTCGATGTAGTTGTTGTTGTAGTGGGGAACTGTGACGTCATTCCTGTTGTTGGTGCAGATGGAGGATAGGTAGTTGTGGTTGTTGGGAACTGTGACGTCATTCCTGTTGTTGGTGTTGGTGGAGGATACGTAGTTGTGGTTGTGGGGAACTGTGACGTCATTCCTGTTGTTGGTGTTGGTGGAGGATAGGTAGTTGTGGTTGTGGGGAACTGTGACGTCATTCCTGTTGTTGGTGCAGGTGGAGGATACGTAGTTGTCGTTGTTGGGAACTGTGACGTCAGTCCTGTTGTTGGTATTGGTGGAGGATACGTAGTTGTGGTTGTGGGGAACTGTGACGTCATTCCTGTTGTTGGTGCAGATGGAGGATATGTAGTTGTGGTTGTAGGGAACTGTGACGTCATTCCTGTTGTTGGTACAGGTGGAGAATACGTAGTTGTGGTTGTGGGGAACTGTGATGTCATTCCTGTTGTTGGTGCAGATGGAGAATACGTAGTTGTGGTTGTGGGGAACTGTGACGTCATTCCTGTTGTTGGTGGAGGATACGTTGTTGTGGTTGTGGGGAACTGTGACGTCATTCCTGTTGTTGGTACAGGTGGAGAATACGTAGTTGTGGTTGTGGGGAACTGTGATGTCATTCCTGTTGTTGGTGCAGGTGGAGGATACGTAGTTGTAGTTGTTGGGAACTGTGACGTCATTCCTGTTGTTGGTGCAGGTGGAGGATACGTAGTTGTGGTTGTGGGGAACTGTGACGTCGTACCTGTCATTGGTGCAGGTGGAGGATACATAGTTGTAGTTGTGGGGAACTGTGACGTCGCTATTTGGCTTGTTGGGTTGGTCACAGGCACCTGTATTCCACCTACCAAGAAATATTAAAGAAAATATAATAAAACAATGAGAACCATTTTATGAGTAGTTTTCAAACAGGGAAATGTGACCATGTTATCTGCAACTACCCGTTGTATTGACCTAATGAAGGTAATATAATACCGGTATTCGGTCAATTTTTTAAAAATGCTTCTTGCATGTATTCCAACGTTCTAAAAGGCATTGTGACGTCATGTATATTGCAATGTTTATGCTATTGCTTAAAGTTTCAACTGCAGAGTTGTGTCTTAATCGGGCTGAAAATAGATCAATTCGGAGATCAGATGTAAAGATATTTTACAGGATAAACAAAATGCATGGGTACTGGCTTAAAAATATTCAGTGGGTGTAAATATTTTCAGAATTAATGAGTAACATATCTTAGCTATTTAAATTTTGGAAAACTAACCACTGACAACATGAGTACATGATGTGGCTCCACTGGATAGCTGTGTACATTTAAATGGACACACAGAGGACTGGCACGATCCCATGGCGAGTTCCTGAAACAAAAATAACAATAGGACTGACCTCAAATAATTTTCTACGAGAAATAATACTATGGTTCAGTTATTGGTTCTGGTGTTTTTTAAAATCTGAATGAAATCAGGTGTTTGTAACATAAAGCGTGTTAATGTTTTTATTAATTAAGTAGATCGAGTCATTAGAAAATATTAAAGCACAGTCTAATACTCGATCTACATGTAGTATATATCTAAGTAATATTTGAGGGGATGTTTTTGCTGTAATGATATCAAACAGAATTAAGCGGGGTCTAAAAAAAAAGTCAATTTATGGTACATGTACTCCTCAGGTTCTGAAAATCATAATTCTTCAAACTTCTTCTACAAAGTTAATGATATTATACCTGCATAGGAAAATTTATATTTTCCAATTGAAATTTGACATTTTAGAAATAAAAATGAGTGTAGGTGTTCAGGTTTTAGAGGAGATTACAAACATATAAGGTGCTTTAGTTTCTGTTATTTACTTCAATCATTTCACAATGCACAGTTTATAAAGATTTTTCTATCATAATTGCAAAACGCCATTAATCGCTTTTTATTTCATATCAAGTTAATAAACATTGGTACCTTCTACTAGATTAAAAGAATCCCGATTTCTTTAAATATGTATTTTTAAGATACTTTTATAGGGTAAATATGCCAACTTTTGATCATAATTGCAAAACGCCATTAATCGCTTTTTATTTCATATCAAGTTAATAAACATTGGTACCTTCTGCTAGATTAAAAGAATCCCGATTTCTTTAAATATGTATTTTTAAGATACTTTTATAGGGTAAATATGCCAACTTTTGATCATAATTGCAAAACGCCATTAATCGCTTTTTATTTCATATCAAGTTAATAAACATTGGTACCTTCTGCTAGATTAAAAGAATCCCGATTCCTTTAAATATGTATTTTTAAGATACTTTCATAGGGTAAATATGCCAACTTTTGATAAGACCTTTCTGAGAAGTTCAAAGAACCTTGACGCACATTGAGAGGTAAAATTGTTCCATGAAAAGATTTAATTTTCAGGCTTCATTTTGAGACTTTTTGAATTGAAATTTAAATTATAAAAGATTAAAGAGTTATTCTTTCTGACTGAGGATCGGAGTACCTTAATTTGAGTTAAATTTGGGATCAAGTTAACGCACTTTGATACAAAAATATTTCTTTTCAAAGTTCGTTAATATATTTGAATTGTTCCGTATTAATGTCACTTAATAATCTAAGATCTAGATGTTCTTAATTTATTAGCAGTTGTCATGTTCCCAAATGTTCTCATAAACGTTAAAAATAAAAGGTAAAAGGGGGGAATTTTTGTTGTTTTTTTTTTAAGGATTATAAATGTTTATCTAATGGCACAGTTCTATCCAATCTGTAATAAGTTTCGTAGATATAGGGGATGATAAGTGTCTTAAAGTATGGGGTAGGAAAATGGGGCAATTATTATTTTTTTAATACCATGAACATTTTCTCTCACCCCCTCCTTTCAAGCAATCTATATCTTCCTTGATACACTGTCTACCTATCAATCTGTTCATCAATCTATCTACTGTCGTATTGAGACTGTTTAGATTCCAAATGACATAATAACTTTGGCGTCTTTTTTTTTTTTTTTTTTTTTTTTTTTTTTTTTTTTTTTTTTTTTGTTGTTGTTGTTGTTGAAACAATATCAGAAAAATGCCTCGAGTAGATATTTTGATTTAGTATGAAACAGTTTTATTATTAACTAAGTTTTTAACTTTTTATGCTTGCATTCTGCATAGGACCTCGGCGCTTTTTGAACGTAAAAGTCAACAACCGAGTGTTAATTAGTTAATTCCGAAGGAAGAAAATTATTACTATTACCAAAATACAAACTAATTTAGAATTTAAAGGGAATTCGAAATACAAATTTTGAAAAGATCGTTATAAAATGAAATAAATAAACAAATTTATTTAAATTTCTTCAACGCTGTTTCATTTAACGTGTTCATGTATCGATCATACTTTTATTAAAACAATTATTTAGAAAAGAATACATCAATCTTTTATACGTTTTGTTATTAAAACGAATTTTAATTGAGCTGTACTAAATTTTTTTTTTTTTTTTTTTTTTTTTTTTTTGGTGAGTTGGTTTAATTTGGACAAGTACTTGTCATTTCTTAATAAAAATGAAGTTACTTCTTTGTCACTACATATTGCATTATCATGTATATATCAGTGGATTCTATTATATTACTTATGTGTTTATCTGCATTGATAATTTTTACCTTTATTAGTCATGTATTATTCGTACTGCATGGCATTTTTTTTTCAAATGTACAAGTTGCTAATAGATAGCATTTTGAGTTCATAAAAATTTCAAATATATACACATAAAGAAATATACGAAAGCTTTCCAATCATTACTTCTTGATATGGATTTGATTGATTGTTTTTGTTATAAACACATTAGAAATTTTGTAAAGTTTCTCTAAAAGTTTGAATAAAAATATAAATACATACATTTTCAGAGAAAAAATTTACCTGTGGTTGTGTTGCTTTCTCCAGGTAAATACACCCGTGGTCCGGAAGAAGCCCGACCCCCGGGCCGACAGTGGCGGGGTTGAGCTGACATCGGAGTAGAAACCTGCAGTAGTTCACGGACTCACATCCCCCCTCCTTTAGACACTCTCGGACACACTGTTGCTGTCCTATATAGGTCAGTATAGGACCACTGATGTTAAGTCTCTGTCCAAACTGAGTTATGGTCAGAATTACACCATTCGTGCAATTGATAGAAATCAAATACACCAAAATTAACACTGCACGTGAAAACACGTGCAGCTTAATCTTCATTTTTACCATCATTGCGGGAAGGAAAAAGATCACAATAACCTGAAGATATTGATTTGTTGCTTTATTTCTTTTATTTGGTCAAGTCGTATAGCCTTAATATCTAAAGAAAGTAAACGGGGTCATTTCTAATTATTTAGCTACTCTTCGAAAATATCGAAGTCTTAAACAATGTGTCTTATTTGATATTTGGGTTTACTAAATAATTCTGTTATATAAGGGCAGGTTCAGTGTAAATCAAATTATGTCAAAATACAGAATGTGTAAAAAGAACATTTATAATTCACTCAATAAATCAATTAAAACCCTGTTGCGTTCTCTGGAGAATAATCATTGGTATTTAAATGTTCGAAAAATGTTTTTAAAATTATTACAAATGGAAACGGTTTTATGCAGATGAAATATTCTTTAATTTTTCTGAAAAATATTAATTTTATTTTTCCTGACTTTTTCTTTTCAGGGGTTATCTTTCTTGTGGTATAGTAGGTACTCTTCACTATCGGAAAATTTGGGGCATTGTAAAAACTGTAGGCCTAAAGAAATTAATAAAAGAACATTCATGTAACCATCAATTGTCCCCAGGGGAAAGAAATGAAATAAACAATGGAAATGAATCTTGATCATCAAACTGCTTCGTTTCGATACATGTGTGTGTGAAAAAGAAATGCGTCTGAGTGATGGAGACGATAGTCGATAAGATTTTGGAAACTTACAGTCGGATGAAAATCGAACAAAAATGATACCCTTTTAAACTTTATCAATTCCTCAAATAAATTTTAGATGCATAAAATATAAATTAAAATCATGCATCAACTATTTTCAAAAATATATTTCACATAAAGACTGTAAAACACGAATTGTGTAAGGTACGGTTTTAAACCCCTGTCACACCAGGGTTGCGTCCTCACGGCGACTGCACGGCGTCCTCAAAAAATGCAAAACGCCGAGGTATATTTTCCTACAGCGCCGTGACAACGCGGCGAGAATACTGAACGCCGTAGGCTCGCGTCGGGTCTCCTAGAACGCCAGGGGACGGCGATCACTTTGGGCATGCACAAAGTAAGCGCCGTGTGATCGCGGTCTGATAAAAACGCAGTAGAAACGTAGTATGATCGCCGTAGCAGCGCGGTGAGATCTCCAACAACGTAGTAGGAGCTCCGTACGAACGCCGTGAAGACGCACATGATCGCGGCACGAACGCAGTGATAGTAGACTGCACTTCCACGGGGTCCTCACGGAGATGTCGCGGAGTCCTTGGAGATGTCACTGCGTTTCTATCGCGTTTTTACGGCGCCTCTAATGAGATTATCGTCTATTGATTTTTTCGATTGCGGTTACACGGCGACAGCACGGAGTTGTCACTGCGATCATTGCGCTCCCATGGCGTTTCTACAGCGTCCGTTGGCGATCACAATGCGCTTTCACGGCGTTGTTAGAGCGTTGTTAGCCAGCTCACAAAACAAGAGCAATAGGATCATATTTGATCAGCAATAATTCCAACGTATTTGTAAAACAAGTTGCATTTTAGTGAAAAAAAATGGAAGAGAAAATTAACCCTAACTTGTTCTGTTGTTTCATTTAAATTTTGTAGAAAACTTTTCAGTGTGTTTATTTTATTTTATTTTATTTATTTTATTTTTTTTGCATTCATAATAAATCAAAGAAAATCTAACAGCACATCTGAACCGATAAAATTAAAAAAAAAAAGAATTTAATCTTAAAACTATTAATAATTCAGTAATAAATTATTTAAATAGAACATTTTTAATTATTAAGAATATTTCTTGGCATGATTAGAGTCTTTTCATCGTGTAACTTGAATCTTTAAACAAAAATGTTTTACATTCCTTCTGAATATATATCAATGAGTATAGAACGCGTTGTGAACGTATTGTGAACGCAGCCAGCGCAGTGACAACGCCGTGAACACGAGGTGAAAACTCCTAACGCGCCGTGAAAACTCCGCGGAAGCGCAATCAATCGCCGAGAGATCTCCGTAGGAACGCAGTAGAACGCCGTGAGATCGCCGTAGAATCGCGTCCGTCGCCGTAGGGACGCCGTGACATCTTACAGAAAATTGTGAAATTTTCCTGCGATTCCACGGCGATTTTAAAAAATTAACAACGCAGTTATGACTCCGTGTGAACGCAGCTTGGTGTGACAGGGCCTTTATGCGATAAGTAAAATCCACTGTTCTTAAAAAAAAGGGGGGGCTGTCGTTTTTTTAATAGTAAATGATAAGTAACTTTACATATCAAATATGAAAAACATATTTATTTTCAAAAATTCACTTTATAAAAGTACAATGTAAATACATTGTGTATCTCGTAATTCACAAAGGTAAAGAACATTTTGATGTATAATCTTTTTAATGTTTAGGAAACCTTTACTTCTGAATAACTTCTCCCACCTCAATTCCGTGCACCAAAACTTAAACTTACATGTATAGAGCAGCCCGGTCCTCTGGGCTGCAATAACTCATTTTCTTCTTCGTTTCCCTCCTCCGAAAATACAAGTATCAAAGTATATTTTTTAGGGGGATAAGGGGGATGATCTGTCAAGAAACTTTACAAAACTTTACGGTGCAAAGTGCAAATATATATTTTTTTATCTCATCATCTCATTATGTGAAGCCTAAGGTGGGATATGTTCTTACCAAAATTGACACATTATTTGTTAATTTTGGTATACAATACGTTTAAAACAAGTTAAATTGATGAAAGCATAAAAAAGTTTCAAAAATAATTCATTTTAGAAGCGGAAAACTTTTTGCAAGAAGGGGGTTATAAAGGAAAAGTTTAAGATAAAAATATTACAAATACAAAAATTGACAAAACACGGACCTCCAAAAAATCATAGGTGGAGTCAGTGGTTTGCACCACGCATTGTACATTTCTATTTGAGAAAGTTCCATCGCTCTACATTTTCGGTGCAATTTTTTAATACCTTCATATTAAGTTTGGTGATCAAACAATGTTTTCATGGAACTAAATGTACTCTATACGGATTGATTTATATTCAGGAAACAAAACAAATAACACCTAAATAATAGTCATATTTAAACTACAACATTTTATAGACCACAAGACAAGTTCTGGATAAGGACACTTGGCATTGCATTTCCGTTTGGGTGCAACAACCACATAAATAATTTAGAGAGAATCTTATTTTTCAAGCCCACATTGTGCCCATGTGTTTTTACAACACACCTGAAGGAAGGTGTGGTTATGGACATCGATCATAAAATAGACTCATACACATGATGTCTCTTTTGATTCAGTTTTTCCTTTCCTAGTCAACAATTAGGTCATCATCACAACTGAGCTAAATTTTACTTGATTCTCTTGTAACTCTAGTTAGCACGTGCACATTAGAACAAGCTAAAGTACATGTAAGTACGTTCATGGAATCTTTAATCAAAATATATTTAAGAGATTTAAATTTTGGATGTTGGGTAAAATAGACTCTTACGTGAGTTAGAAATTATTATTTTGATCAAATCATCTGTCGGTTCTTCAATTAATATTTTCCCACAAAGGTAACAAAGGCAGTGAAGATTTGTAAAAAAAAAAAAAAATAATAATAATAATAATAATAAATGAAATTTATGGATATAACGAACAGAATTCAAGCTCAAAAGTCCATTCAAAAAAACAAAATAGGAGCAGAGCAAACACGGACCCCCGACCCAACAGAGATGGGATCGGCATGGAGGAGTGAGCATCCCCTGTAGCATATATCGTCGGGTCCCATTTTACATAATCATATAGTATATACTAGTATTTCAACCTGACGTCTACACCCTACATTTTATTCATGCATATATTCAAATCTCAATTATAACCAAATCTTATAGTTTCCCCTTTTTGAATATCTAAAAAAAAAAAACCTGATTTCTTCATTCAACAAAAGTTCCAGCCATATAAAGACGTTATAACCGTACCTTTTTTTTTTATAAAACTGAGAATCATCTTTAAAAAATACAGAGAGTTTGCATCATGCTTAGATCTATTTGCGCCAGCAGTTTATGTATGTTATGAATACTGTTGTATGTAGATTAAAACAAACATTTGACTTAATATATGAAGGTAAGACATGAAGGCATTCACAACATAAATAATTTTTTTGAAAATTTGAAAAAAAGTTAAAAACTTTCACAGCATCACTACAGTCCTATTGCAGAGGCCTGAGTCGGTAAAATAAGGAACATTTAATTTGATTTTCAAAGAAAATTTTCTTGGCTATTTAAAAATTATGCTGGAAGTGGATTAAGAAAGCAATTATTTTGCTATCTCTGCTCCAAGAAAAAATTGGGAGGTCAACATTACCGCTGACATTGCCAAAAATTGCAACTCATTACCGCAACATTTTTTCAGATTATCGGCCAATCATTACCGCTACATTTTTCCGCGGTCGAAAACAACTCATTACCGCTACATATTGAATCAGCCAAAAGCAACTCATTACCGCTACATATCGATTTAGTCAGGAATGGTGAAAGTTTTCACAGAGAGTTCGACACAATGTTTTACAGTTCTCATACGAGCATTTTTGATTTTTTTGGCCAAGATTCAGTCAGTCCAGACACAAAGTTATTTGAAAATGCGTGCTGCAAGAAACAGGATTCTCCCAGGACGAAAGGAGAATAACAACACAGCACAAAAAAGGGAACTGAAAGCTAAATACGACAGTGGGGAAATGACAAGGCAACAATATGTCAAGCAAATGGCTTTCAAGACTTTACCAATAGTGTAAAAAACATTTCACAAAACTTAAGGTTTTAACTATGTACAGTGCTTGATTTTAATTTTTTGGTGTTTTATGAAATAAAATTGATGTTAATAAAAAGACATCCTGCTCAAAGTCCTACTTTCACCTACCCGTGGTGAGCAAGGGAAACAAGACTTGTGCATGTATAGGTTGGCTAACAATGTAGCGGTAATGTATACTTTTTATGTAACGGTAATGTAATGTTTTTTGTAGCGGTAATGACTATGTAGCGGTAATGAAAA